TTTGTCCAGTTTGATTTTCTATAAGTAACTTCCAGGCCTTAAACTTCTCACAAACATCAGACTTATGTTCTAGAAGGTAGACCCACATTTTCCTAGAAATATCATCAATTAAGGAAAAGAAATATCGTTTCCCCCCATGTGTGGGAACACTGGCAGGACCCCAAACATCAGCATGCACATATTCAAGCACAGAGGAGCACTTAGTCATATTAGGATAAGAGGATAGAGGGAATTGGACTCTATGTTGTTTACCAAGGACACATGATTCACAGAAAGTCAAAGAGTTCACAGAGTCTTTACCAAAGTAACCATGTTTATGCATGATCCCTAAACCTTTATTACTCATATGCCCTAGTCTATTATGTCACAACAAAGTTTTATCAGCATGCACAACATTCACAACATTCACAGAGTCAATATAAGGTTTAGCATGACACACGTAAAGGTTGTTCACCTTCTCAGTTTTAAACAACACCAGAGAATTTTTCAAAATTTTCATGCAACCATTCCCCCACTTTCCCTCTAATCCACTACCCTCCAAGGCAGCAACATATAACAAGTTGTGACACAAATCAGGGACATGCCTCACATTCTTAAGAGTAAACACAGAGCCACAAGAAAACTTAAGACATATATCACCTATACCCAGAACATTGCATCTCTTATTATCAGCTAAGGAAACCTAACCCATATCACATTTCTCATATTTAGAAAACAAGTCCCTAAAAGGAATCATATGATAGGTGCAACCAGAATCAATAAACCATTCATGCTCAGTCAAGGTATTCCGAACAGAATTAACATGATCACACACCATGAGAACCTCACCAAGGTCATCTCTCTCTATTTTTACACTAGCCTGCTTAGGTTTCTTGGGGTGGGGCAGTCTTTAATAAAGTGTCCAGAATTGCCACAGCTGTAGCACACACATTTTCTAGACTTATTCCTCTTCTTACCATTTTGGTTACTGTTTTTAGCTTGGGCATCCTGTTTCTGATTCTTAGACGTACTCTTAGATCTACCCCTCACAAACATAGTCTCACCAGAATCCTTGGATTGACTATAAGTACACCTATTATGTTTAAGCTCAAGCTCTTTACTCTTAAGGTCATTCACAACAATATCAAGGGTGACATCATCTCTACCATATTTAATAGCAGATTTAACATCATTATAAGAATCGGGAATAGCATTAAGCAACATAACAGCAGTATAATCATCAATATGCTTATCACCAGATTGTTTAATGTTCTGGATCAACTTATTAAAAACATCCAAGTTTTCATTAATGTCTTTGGTTAGGTCTAGCCTAAGCCGAAAGAACTTTTCAAGCAAAAACAGTTTACCAGACAGAGAGGTGTCAGTATAAAGATCATCTAACTTATCCCACACTTTTTTAGCAGAGTCTAAAATACTAACCTTTCTAAGCACAGAGTCAGATAGGTCAAGATAAATAGTAGAGCAGGCAGTTTCATTCATTTCAGCTTTCTTAGCATTATCATCAGAATCAAAATAAAGTTCACTTACATCTCTGAAAATCTTTTGCTGGATTAAAACACATTTGATCTTTTGTTTCCAAATGTCAAAATCAGTTTTCCCATTAAAAGGTAGCATACCATACATATTGGCAGACATAGCAGCAGACACCAGAGTGAACACAATAAGGATAATGCAGAAGATCAGTAGCAAAAGACAAGGTCAATGAAAAAACAGCACACAGAGAGACAGAGAACTAAGGAGCTAGGGTTCACCAGTGCACCCGGTTGTGGGCTGACAGGCCACACAGATCCGAAGGCCACTTGAGTGGCTGACAGGGAACCTGTCAGTCCTAACCTCAGGTGCCGAGTCACACAGGTTAAAAAAATCCCAGTTCACAAGGGTACCAAGCAAGCACAAAGGACAGTAAAGGTGAGATAAACACACAAGGGAGACAGAGACACAGATTACAAGTTCAAAAAACCTCAAGCCCGCATATGCATAAACCAGTACGAATCACAGATCTATACATGCAGATCAAACTTCACACACAAAGGTAAAGTGTACGCACCTGGGAGTAGTCACTTACAACTGACAGCTAGACCAACTAGGTCAGCAGCAAAAGCAAAACGGGGAAGGGGATGAAACGAGTAAAAAACAACCAAAACACACAATACTGGAGGCACCCGGCTACCTAGGGTGTTTATCGCCAATTTACCTGAGCGACAACACGAGGATGGGCTTCTCGACTTACCAATCAATGGAGATCTGCGGCGGATGGCGGTGGTGGAGCTCTCGGGCTGCAGACGATGACGACAAGAGGTCCGGCTCTGATACCACTGTCAGGTTTTCACCTCTCCAGCTCAGACCACGCTCAAACAGCACACAACCAAGCACCACCGGAAGGGACAGTCACACTCAGGCCAGCCCATCCATCTCAACGCACACCATGATCCAAAAGGGGAAGCTCAGAGAGAAACAACACAGAAGGACCGAAGGAGAAGAGATAGAAAGTCTCTCTCTCGTTCTCTCTAACCTCACTCACTCTCTAACCGAAGATCTCACCCGTTCAAGAGGAAGAAGAGGGACTTAAGTACCAAGGGCTACAAGGGAACCCTAATAAAAGGTTCCAGAAATAGGGCTAGCGAGAAACACATGGGCAGGTGACAAGAGGCAAGCAAACAGGCCCAACAAGAAAAGAGAGGGTTGCCAAGGCTTTATGGGCCAATACCTCCACAACCTCTCTTTTATTTTCTTATTTGTCATCAGTACCCTTTGATCGACATCTTTCACACCCTTAACTTTTCCGATATCTTGAGCCCTATGATCATGAGGATGAACAAGTTTGTAAATAGCTTGAATCCGATTTTACATACAACTCTTTGCCCAACTTTAAATCAACGTGGTGTACAATGGAGTTATTCTATTGCACATTTTCAATTTGCTCGAATTAAACCTATATTAAATAACACGGTGGCATTTTGGTAAATATTGTGAAAATGTGAAAATGTGCAATATACAAGCTCCGTTGTGCAACACGTTGGGGTAAATGTGGCGTTCTCACGTTCTCACGTTAAACATTGTTCTCATTTGATCTTTATTATATATATGGTGCGGTTCCAATGAGAACGATGCTTAACGCGAGAACACTCACAATTAACTCAATGTGATACACAATAGAGCCCGTCTAGTGCACATTTCGACTTTGCTGAAAACAAGCCAATATAAATAACACGGTGGCATTTTGGTAAATATTATGCCAAACACGAAAAAGTGCATTGGGCGAGTCTCATTGTGCATCACAGTGGCGTAAATGTGGTGTTCTCACGTTCTCACGTTAAGCATTGTTCTCATTTGATCCTAAATCTATCTATATATATATATATATATATATATATATATATATATATATATATAGGGAGCGGATCAGGTGAGAGGTGCCCTTAGGCTGAGAACTGTGAAGCTAACTTATAGACTGAAAACGTGAACTTTTAACCAATAAATCATAACTTATAGACCCCTCGAAATAATTACGAAGATGCCACCGCAAAAAAAAAAAACTGGAGACCTTGGAAATTTTTGGACGCGGTGACATTTTCGTAATTACAATGGAGAGCTTTATAAGTTATGATTTATTGGTTATAAAATCTAGTATTCAGTCTATAAGTTTGTTGCGTTGTAAAATTAGATGCAAATCCGAGGGCTGAGATTACTCCTCACTTCTCATTTTAAGGAGAACTTCTCACCTGATCTTTTCTATATATGTGTGTGGGGGGGGAGAGCGGATCAGGTGAGAAGTGCTTTTAGGCTGAAAGCTGCGAAGTTTAACTAATAAACTAAAAAGACGAACTTTTGATCATTAAATCATAACTTATAGACGCCGTCGAAAATAATTACGAAAATGCCACCGCAAAAAAATAAGCCTGGAAACCTTGAATTTTTTTGGACACGGTGGCATTTTCGTAATTATGATGGATAGCTTTATAAGTTGTGATTTATTGGTTATAAGTTCCTATATTCAGTCTATAAGTTTACTGTGTTGCAAGATCACATGCAAATCAAAGGGATGAGATTACTTCTCACTTCTCATTTTAAGGGGCAGTTCTCAGTTCTCACCTGATCTTTTCTCTCTCTCTCTCTCTCTCTCTCTCTATATATATATATATATATATATATATATATATATATATATATATATATATATATAGCAATCTTTTGATCAGGACTTCCTGACTATGATTCGTAACCTATCACCATGATTTGAGGTGGTTCCTGGTGGAGTATTTTAACCATGATTTGAGGTGGTTCCTGGTGGAGTATTTTGATGACTTTTTCTTAACATGTTCTACATGAAGTTTAGATTATGTTCACAAAATTTCAACTTAAAATTCGACCAAAATATCAATTAAAAAATTATTGAAAAATATTGCGTCAATATATATATATAACATAGTATTATTCAATAATTTATTTAACTGACATTTTAATTGTTTTTTAAGTTCAAGTTTTGTTGAAATAATCTACACCATGAAAAACATGAAAAAAAATACATTGGGGACCACCTCAAATCGCGGCGGCCGGACAGCGGTTCTCCGCAATTCCGGAGGTGAATATTTCTCTCTATATGTATGTATATCAAGCAACCGATTCTTTACATGTGACTATGTGAGTCTATGACGATGTAAACAGTAAACTTCTCATGGATATCCGGTTTATAACATCCAAGAGGACCAAGACCATGGTTGAGGGGTTGAGGTTGATTTATATATTGTTGAACAAAATACCTCATTTTGACAACACAAAATGTTTTCTTTGCAAACCAAAAAATGTTTAATTATTCTACTATTATTTCGTGAGAGTAAGTAGTGAATACTGAGTAGAGGGTATCAGGGGAGATAAAACAGATGCAACTGGACTAAAATACATCAATATTTTTTAGAATAGTTAAATGGAAAAGTAGATACAGAATTCCTCTGTTTTGACTTTTGAGAATCTCATACTTGAATAATTTTCCACACACAAAATGAAGATAATTTCATATTCTTATAGAATTGTGAAATTTCAACTATAAATGCAATGGCATCAGTGTTATTAATTACCGTGAAATTAACATACTGCAGACTACAAAAGAAAAAAATACACAGCCTATAACATTGGACAAAGCATAGCAGGAAGACATTTTTCAAGTGATGTTTCGTAAGTTTGGTTCCATGTTTGGATGGGGTGTTTGCCTATGTAGTGAGAGCATCAGGGAGATTGGTGGGGGAACCCAGAATGCTGCCCCCGACATCAGGAAAGCACTCAAAATCAGGGAGGGAGGTGACTTCCCCGGACCGGCTTACCTGGACTGGATATTGCATCAGATGACCCCTCATGTCCTGGTACTCCTCTGCCACAAACGCTTTCCAGTTGTATCTAGCGATCTCGTTCACACGCCTAACACATTTGACACTGTGTGGCTTTTGGAAGCATGCCTCCAGCTCCCCCAGGTGCTCGGCCCACAGAGACATTCTATAACCATACACCTGCATGCATGTATGCATCAATCTTTGTTGTTAACAATCTCACGCTGAAAGAGATTTCAGAGACTCAGAGACATATGATATCAAAAGGTTGGGCTTGTGTTAGACGAACTGATCGGTTGTATTTGGTCTTTCTCAGACCCGTTTTCATGATGATCCCAACGGGTGACTGATACTGTGATACAATTATGAAATTATATATATAAATCATGTATAAGAGCCAGTCTGGCCCACCATGTTTGTGTGGACTAGTGGCCTGTGGTTAGGTGTGGCACCACTTAACAGAGAGAGTAGGAGATTAAGGGAGTGTTTGCAAATGCTTTTGCTTAAAAAAACACTTTTTAAAGTGATTTTGGAAAAAGTGATTAATAGTGTTTGAGAAAAAAGTGATTTTGAAAAGTAAAAGCTGGTAGTGTTTGATAAAATAAGTACTTTTTGTGTAATAGAAAAAGTAAAAAGCACTTTTCACCCAAAAGTCAAGAAGCGTTTTTTTAAGTAGAAGTTGTCACTTGAAAACACTAATTTTAGTTTTTTAAGCCAAAAGCCGATAAGTGCTTTTTTTTAGTTATTGCAAACACTCCCTAAGGGAATGTTTGCGTTTGCTTCTACTTAAACAAAGTGATTTTTAAAAATGATTTTTGAAAATGTGCTTGGTAGTAAAAGTTGATAGTGTTTTAGAATAGAAGTGATTTTGATGAAAAAGTTAAAGTTGGAGTGTTTGATAAAAAAAGTGATTTTTGATGTAATATTTTATTAAAGTATAGAAACACCCCTACTTAAATTTTATACTACTTGTATCTCATCTCGTTTACGTATATTTCCAAGCATCACTCCAGGCTCCAACACCAATAGCCAAAATTGCTGCCTAACCTCCACGCGACCTAGACGATGAGTCAAAGTTCCCCTGAATCCTTGGCAAACACCGTTCATATCCCTTGTACGGTCATCGTACATAAGAACCCCGGTCTTAAATAAATTACGCATATATGTGTGTGTGTATTCTTATTCCATCATTTGCAATGGAGCCAAAGATTCATTATTTTTTGGCTTGAGATTATGATGGAATAAAGCAAAATGGCTCACTAAACTGTCTGCGCTTCTTTGTTATGGAGCAGCAGTCAGTCCATGCAATTTTGGACGCGATTTTCACTATGGGTCATCTGGAAACAGTCTCTCTGTGCTTTAGTACATGGGTAAGACTGCGTACATCCGACCCCCCCTTACCCCACCGTAGGTGGGAGCCTTTGCGGCACTGGGGTAAATGAAAATGATGAATGAAAAATGATGTGTGTGTGTATTCTCGAAAAACAGGAGAAGCACTGTGTAGAAATTGGGCTTAATTAAATTATGCATGTGTGTTTGTGTGTATACATATGTGCACGGTTTAAAAAGGCTAGTTAGGGTATCGAGGCGGTTTATTTGAGACAGGCGAGACATAAGCCTTGAGGCGTATTGAGGCGTAAGCCTAAAAATTTACCAACAAGTAAACTGAAAATAGTTAAACTAGTAATAACCAACTATAGATATGCATAATGAAAGTCCAAAAAGTCTCAAACACAATCACATGTATGACAAAATCATTAAACACTATAACTCAAAATGAGAACTCAAACACAAAACAAACATATCACATAGATGACAATTTGAAACTCTCGAAGCTTAATCATCATGACCCCAGGTCTTCGGAAGAATCATTATATATTTATATCTTATAGCATTCTCACCGCCATCCCTTCTATCATCACTATCAAAATCCCTAAGTTCTTTCTCCTCTTCATCATCATTTACCTCCATTACTTGTTTAGTTTTCTTAGGGAAAATTGCACGTTTATTTGAGGGACTAAAAATGCGATTTTCCCTTATTTTTTCCTTGGTTACCCATCTGCTTCTTTGTGAAGAAGTATGGATAAGTTTTAACGACACGTAGAATGCTTAATAGGAAGTACATGTTAGGGTTTAAATGAAAGAAGAATACTTTGCGTTTAGTGTAGGCACATGTTTAATGTATGAGCCTTTTATTAAATAAAAACACTTCCTTCTTAAGCTAGAGGCACATTAAGTCATTAACAAGATAGAAGCAAAGGAAAACGCCTCACAAAAATGCCTCAAGGAGTGCCTCAAGGCGTACGCCTTGAATTTTGAGGTGTAAGCCTCTTATCCTGCAAATAAACCTAAGCTTCAAAACTTTCTCTGTATGCCTCACCTTGAGGCGCACCTCAAAACCCGCTTATTAAGCGCCTTTTTAAACCATGCATATGTGTATGTGTATAGTTTTTTATTCAAAAAAATGGGATAAAGAAAGAAGCTACGAAAGAGTGAATGAAGACGCAGAGACCTTGGACGCAGGAGGTCAGAGAAGTAGGGGTATTTTGGGTTTAAGCTTAATACACTTACCTTTATAATTATCCCTGAAGTTTGAGTTATTTACGAAATACCGAGAAGCAGATAGAAGCACCTCTTTACCAGCTTTCACCTTTTCGCTTTAAAGTGTTTTTTTAAGCAGAAACAAGTGTTTGAAAACCCTAATTTTAACTTTTTTAGGCCAAAAGCTGAAAAGTGCTTTTTTTAATCTTTTGCAAACACTCCCTAAGTTTGTGTTTTGGAGGTTGCGATTGCAAGTGACCAGCAATTATGCTCTGATTGTCCACTTATAACAGGGCATTGAAAATACAAAAAGGGCAGTCCAGCCCACTTGGTTGTCACTGCCTTATCATCTAGGCATCTAGGAGCCCACCTAGGCGACAACTATAGCTTCATACGTATTGTTATTATTATTTATTATTGTTTATTATAGTAATAATAATAATTCTTATAATATACATATACGTGTGTGAAGAATATCAAGCAAAAGTAATTTTTTATCTTTCTCTAAAACCTAATATTCCGGATTGGGTCAGTGAAAGCTGGAACTAAGAGTCACCCTGATGACTTGCAGAGTCCCATTACAAAGGTGTGGAGGGGGCTTTCACTTGTCATTTTGACAAGGGCCAGTTCCAAGACTTGAACATGTAACCTCTCAGTCAAACAGCAACACATTTATCGGTGCACCAAGGCTCTCATTCAGCATTAAAAAACACAAACTAAAAGATTTAAGAGATAGATGAAATAATTAATTCAATTATTTCAGTGTAGTTTAAGAGATATAGAACAACTAGCCAATCGCTTGGATTTAAAAATTTAGTTTGGCCTGTGTGCATTATTATGGCCTAGTTGACTAGTTGGGTGACAGCAAATCAGCGACCCAATTAATCGGGGCTAGATGGAGATTTCCATAAAAAAGCTGGATTATTAGTGCTACCATGTGTGCATTAGTAATGTATTTAACATTAGGGATAGTGAAGCGAAATGAAATGTGTAGTTTGGACTCACGGACTATTCTCATAGATTGATATAATTTTCATTGCATAAAACCGGAATATATCATTATGCTAAATGCAGCTCTTTCCAGTGCTCCTAATGTGCATCAAACAGAGCTAACAGATGAAATAAGTCATGAAGAGATGGGAATGAAATTCCAGACCTGGCCTTGAGGAAGACTTTTCTTGTTCGCCCACGTTTTGTGTGGCTGATAAGCTCCCATAGCAATTTCTGTGTCCCTGGAACCACTCAAAGATCTCTGGTTGATATTTGCGGAACCCATTAGGATATATTCATCATCAACTATCATTCCTTTTGAATGTACATAGATCATAAACCTGCGGAACTTTTGAGATAATCTCTGCATAAAAGTGAGATATTAAGCGTTTCAAGATCTATCCAATAAAAGAGAATTTAAATGCCAAAAGGGCACGCCTGTATAAATTAGTGTCCGCTTGGAACCTTGAAAATATTAAGGAAAGAAAGTAGGAAGCAAAATATGGCATAAAATTAGAAGGAAACTTGGGAGAAAATCGGCAATACATTCAAATTCAATAAATAATTACTAAATAAATGTTTAAACTTGTTTTTTTTTATTTCTATTATATAAACACTAAAGTGTAAATATATTTTTAAAATAAAATTGTAATCATATTTCATTTTCCTACCCCTTTTCAAGGTAATTAAAATTAGCAGTTCGTTTTCCATTCCCTATCATTTACCAGGATCCAAGCAAACCTTGTTGTAGGTGGAAAAGCCATTACTTCTTCCGTCCCAAAACAAAAAACGAAAATGATCTTGGCTTGTTTGTAATACTACTGATCTAATAATAAAATAAACGATCCTCTTTTTGGGAGGGAAGTAGTACTACATTGAACATACTCTCTCCTTGCCTTGTAATTTTGCTATGTTTAACTTACATGTACAATAATAAAGAATAATAAAGTAAAAATTTAGTGGCTGAGTTTGCAGAGGAAAAAAAGTAATAGGAATCACAGTCTAATTACTTAAAAATGAAAGTTGCAAACTTTTAGAGACAATTAAAAAGAGGTAGTATATTTTAAAATAAGAAATAATAATAATTCAAATATCCCAAAGTTTGGATAGGTGTGAGCTAAATATGCCAAACTTACATTATAAGTGATCTCAGCACCATGAGCCAAAATTATTTACTACGTATTTTAAAATGGAAGGTTAGAATACTAAACCACCCATCTTAAATGTTTGAAGTATTTAAATTACGCACTATACTGAAAACTAACATTTTTGAAAAATATCAATGGTGCTAAGATAACATTACTCATAATGCTCAGATTTTTATATTACATATACAAGTCTGGTATTCAGGTCATACTTCTCCAAAATTGGGAGTTTGAACTATTATCTCCTTAGTTTTCTTCATAATAGGAGCTGCATTCATACATTTATTTGGGAGGCAGAATTGCTTGCCAATGCACGGTCATGCGGAGGTGTACTGGGTTCGTCATAACTTCCTGGGGATGAAGCCTCTCTCTTACCAAGGCAATAGAAGTTCAAATAGTCCTGAGGATGGCGTTCAGAGAGGCCCGCACTTTCAAGTGCCCGTGCCACAATTTTATACATCATAGTCATTGTTTGGTGCTGTGAAAATTGTCAAGAAGTAATGAGGCATATGTTACTTCTAGAATGGTTACGTACAAATATATGATCTTTCTAAACATGGAACAAGACCAAGTTTAAGACTAATTAAAATTTAATGGTAGTTAAAACTCTAATCCTAATCTTAATTAAAACTCTTTGTTCCCTAACGCCTAAACCAGTCGCTACCCTTTTAGATCCGGACCAACCAAGTCTCACCAACATTTAATTCCGTCTACCCAGATCTGTTATTTATCTTAATAAATGGGTCGGTTATGGTACAATTTTTTCTGACCTGTTAAGGATCCGACCAATTTTTAAAAGTATATTTAGTAAAAGTTAAATATTTTCTTCTTTATCTTTCTGTGTTCTTATGCTATTTTTATCTTTTATCTTTCTTATGCTATTTTATCTTTTTATCTTTTATCTTTCTTATGTTCTTATGTTATTTTTATCTTTTATTTATCTTTATCTTATCCATTTTATCTGACTTTATCTTTTTATTGTTCTTATCTTCTCTTTTTGGCTTTGATATCATGGATCGATTCATGTTAGCCGACACATGTGTTTGTGGATAAGGCTAAACACAATCTTTTGGGAATAAGGCTTGAATGTTGTTGTTGTAAAAGCTAAACATACATACAAAACACACACATATACACATGTGTTTGTGGCCATACATACATACATGCATACATGCATACATGCATTCATGCATACATGCATTCATGCATTCATGCATTCATGCATTCATGCATACATACATATATACATACATAAATACATGTATCTACACACATATATAGGGGTAAGTTCAAGTAAAAAATAGTGCTCCCATAAAAAGTGAGAATAAATCTCGAACTTTTAATCACTTGAACATATATACGTAGTATGAAGTATTAGATAAACTTTTAAACAAAAGACACAATGATAAAAATAGGGGTGGTTAGATACAACATACCAGATATTTCATTTCATACATGTGAAAGACTTTAGAATATTCTTCTATCTTTAGAATATGATTTAGAATATTTTAGGAATATACTCTAGGATATTATTATTGTATAGAATCTTAAAGGAATATTCTATCTCTGTAATGTATATATATAGGGCCTTAACCCTCCAATGAAATACACAGAAAATCCTTCTCTCCATGTTCAATATCATTCTAGTTTATACTTTAACATGAAGTTTATATTGAGCAACCTCCGAGGTTTGTTGCTCAGGGGGGAGAATGGGAAAGTCTGTCGACTTCGCAAGTCTCTTTACGGTTTGAAACAAAGTCCCCGTGCATGGTTCGGGAAATTTAGCCAATCAATTGAAAGATTTGGAATAATAAAAGGCAAATCAGATCACTCTGTATTTTACAGACGAACGAAAGCAGGTATCACATTGCTTGTGGTATATGTCGATGATATTGTGATTACAGGGAGTGATAATGCAGATATTTTGGCCCTAAAGAATTTTCTTCATAGTCAATTCCAGACAAAAGATTTGAGCTCATTGAAATACTTCTTGGGGATTGAGGTTACATGGAGTAAGAAAGGCATATTTCTATCTCAACGTAAATATGTGTTTGACTTACTAACTACAATAGGGAAATTGGGGGCAAAACCGAGCAATACTCCCATGATTCCCAATGTGCAACTCACTCATGAAGGTATACCATTCGAAGCTCCGGAAAGATATAGACGGTTGGTTGGAAAACTTAAATATCTCGCAGTTACCCATCCAGATATTGCGTACTCAGTGAGTGTAGTAAGTCAATACATGTCATCTCCGACAGTTGATCATTGGAAAGTTGTAGAGCATATATTATGTTACTTGAAGGGGACACCAGGACGAGGTATTGTTTATCAAAATCATAATCACATGATAATAGAATGCTTTGCAGATGCTGACTGGGCTGGATCTAAAGATGATAGAAGATCCACATCTGGCTATTGCGTCTTTGTTGGTGGTAATCTCGTCTCTTGAAAAAGTAAGAAGCAGAATGTGGTTTCTCGTTCAAGTCTTAAATCGGAATATCGGGCTATGGCACAATCGACATGTGAGATAATCTGGATAAACCATTTATTGAGTGAAATGGGATTGAAGACACCAATGCCTGCTAAACTTTGGTGTGACAACCAAGCTGCTATACACATTGCCAACAATCCAGTGTTTCATGAGAGAACAAAACATATTGAGGTCGATTGTCACTTCGTTCGAGAAAAGATACAACAAGGATTGATCTCTACAGGATATGTGAAGACTGGAGAGCAACTTGGAGATTTGTTCACTAAAGCACTAAATGGAATTCGTGTTGGTTACTTATGTAACAAGTTGGGCATGATAAATATCTATGCTCCAACTTGAGGGGGAGTGCGAAAGACTTTAGAATATTCTTCTATCTTTAGAATATGCTTTAGAATATTTTAGGAATATACTCTAGGATATTATTATTGTATAGAATCTTGAAGGAATATTCTATCTTTGTAATGTATATATAGGGCCTTAACCCTCCAATGAAATACACAGAAAATCCTTCTCTCCATGTTCAATATCATTCTAGTTTATACTTTAACAATACATTTGCCGTACTGAAACTTTTGGTATACAAAATCACATACTATTCCTTTATGGAGATATCAGTATACCGAAATTTCAGTACGACAAAGATACAATATCATGTCATACTAGAATAATAGTACAACAACTTATTATCTGCCAAATGAAATATACAAAATATGTGGTACTAGTTATACAGTGAAATTACTAATTAATAAAAAAATAAAAAATACTTATAATGATGTGTTGAAGTCATATTCAATTTAAAAAAACAACACATTCACCTAAATATAACTTAGACAACATAGATATAAATATAACAATAGAGGTCCGTAACAAAAAAAGTAAAAATAATTCAAACGTGAATATAAACTCACTTATCCATAATGTGATGTTATGTTTCTAGTAATTTTTTAATTCTAAAGGAATGATTGGATTGGGCTTTAGGTATAAAAGTATACTGATACCATACCAAAGTAATTGAGTACGGTGTCATACCTTACCAAAAATGTCGGTATACCAAAATTTTCAATAAATTCAATATTTTTCGATAAGGTAAGTGCGATATATCGAAGTTTCAATATTTCCCTCCAACCCTAAAACAAAATAATGTGCAAATGTTTATAAGACAAATAGGATTGTTTATGGATACAAATGCATTCACGAATGCTAAAATGATTATTACGGAGTATATTTTTTAAAACTTATGCACATTTTATTTTGTATTTTGCTGCACTTTTGTGATCTACATTTGCTTTTTTGTATATTTTGGTACACATTTGTGGAAATATTTTCTTTTAAAATTATTCATAATTACTAAACTGCCACTGTGTTTCTTACCTAAAGTTTGATCTCTCCCCCCATTTTTTCACATCAATGGCCAAGATTTGTTCATATTATAAGATATCTTCTCCCATAGATACACTTTAAAATTTGATAGCTAGGGACATCAGAACGTCAGATAAAATCAGAAAACACACATAAGCCAGGAGCTGGATCATTACACATTATTATTCAGAGTAGCACAAGATAAAAAATCAGCCTTCTTTAGCTTTTGGTCCACCTAGGTGCCCTAGGTAGCCCCAGTTAGGCACTTCCAGGAACCTTTAACCATCATTTTATTGGTCAAATTCCATCCTTTTTGGGATTTTAGTACAAAACCTAAACATGGATTACAATAATATACCCACTCCATCCCAATCAAGGAAGGAGAGCAAACTTTCAAACATTTTATTTGTTCCAAACAGAGTAATATTTCAGAAAACATAGATATATTTGCATGTGACTTTCCAAAAAAAATCAAACAGGTTCAATATGATTAAGACCCCGTTTGGTGACTCTGTTTTTCGGCTTATCAACCAACTTTTTAACCGAACACATAACTTTTGATTTCGCGCGCTGAATAGTGTAATAATAAGAAAAAGTAAGGTTAGAGTTAGAGTTACTTTTCTGACTGTATTGGCTGACGTTACTGTAGATGACTATTTTTGCTATTTTTTCATATAACTTTTTCTTTATTTTATTAATAACATATATTTTAAATATAATTTTTTCATAAATCAGCAGAATCAGCCAATACAGCCACTTAAGCCAGAACCTCATAAATTTCAGCAGAATCAGCCGATGTTAGAGTTACCAAACGGGCTCTAATTTAGCTAAAGCAGAAAATAAGGTTGATTTTCTTTATTGTTCCTTGACTAAGTAGGAATTTTACTTTTGGGGCAGAGAAAGTATGATTCACTTTTGAAACTGGGTAAAATAAAAAGAGGGCGTCTAGTTGTGTGATGAACACCCAATGGGAGCATAACGCAACCATGACTATACCTGCCAAAAAAGAATTTCTTGCACTGCAGAACTGCTAGTGATGCCTTCAGGCCACATTGGAATCAGTATATACACAGCAAAATCTTCATATGCTGCTATTTTACTGGCAATATTCAGAGCTATTTCCATAGGCACTAGGTTGTTAGCACCTATAAAATAAAATTAATTTTGTAAAAAGTCATTATTCACATATTCTATGGTAAGCAGCACGAGAAATTAAAAATCCCTTCATCATATGTTTATTTTTGAAATTTTCTGAGATTTGTTTGATACCTAGAAAGTGTTTGACTGACTGTCTAAATACTGAACAGATTTAATAATTATAAGATTTAATAATTATAAATTGAACAGACACTAGTGATTAATATTAATTACAAACCAAACACTCTAAAAACTCATAATTATAAAAATAATACTACCTCTGTTCTTAAATAATTGCAACAAAAATTTTGAACTATTCACATGTTCTACTTTGACTACATTTTATTCATTAATTTATTATCAAATAAATTTTTGAAAAACGTCATTAAATTTGTCTTATCATAAATTTTCAAAATCTGAATTTTTTAATTTTTTACTAATAGAGAATTAAATATATATCAATGGTCAAAGTTGTGCGTTGGCAAACGTGAAAAGAGAAGTGTTGTGATTAAAAGAGAACGGAGGAAGTAATAAATAAGCTATTCCCTAGAGTAATGATGTCTCTTCCATCTGTCGAAATATACATCAACGCTCTCCCTCAAGCTAGGTTTATAGATATCTCTCATGCCTAACTTAACAATAAGACTCTGAAACCTAGGACTGAAAATGTTTGGTAAACAAATGTGCAATCTGATCTTTTGAGCTAGTGTAGCTTAGTTCAATCAAACCTTATTCAACATTCTTTCATGAAATGACGGTCAATCTTAATATGATCGGTACGCTCTCGCTGGACTGGATTATGATTTAGGCTGGTTGTTTATTTACTTTCACACCTCAATTATATTGGTCCTTCCCATCTGATTCATAATTCAGGGAGAATAATCTTGGTCCATAGAAGTTCACACAGGCCATGGACAGGGGCTCTTAGCTCAGAATCAGCAGATGGTTGAACTACAACATCTCGGTCCATGTCACGAGGTTTCCTCCTAGGAAAATGCAAATAACAGTAGTCAACGGGCGGAGAACGAGAGAGCCACCATAATCTGCATTAATGAAGGCTTGGACTGAAAATTGTTCCACCCTCTTGCACGTGACTCCTTGTCCTAGATTTCCCTTTAAGTAGTATAAAACTCTATAGGCTGATGCTAGATGCGATTTCCTTAAGCCATGCATGAAATGACTTAGTCCACTAATCGCATAGGCAATGTCAGATCTGGTGTAGGAGAGATAGATCTGGTGCAGACACTAATACATCATTGAATCAATCTTGGGTTCACCATCAGCAAGTCCAAGCTTATGATTGTGAACTATTAGCGTAGTAACCGATCAACAAGCAGTCAAACACTCTTACCGGTCTCACTCAGCAAATCTGTAATTTACTTTTGTCGGCTGATAAAAATGTCTTGAGATGAGCATATAACTTCAATCCAAGAAAGTATTTGACCTACCTTTGATGATGTTGTTTCTTAGCTCGATCATTGTCGGTTACAATTATGTCATCCACATATACTAAAAGAATAGCAACTCCCCCGGGAGAGATTGCTTGTAAAAAAGAGTATGGTCACCCTGACGGCCCGACTTTGATAATAACCAACAACTCGCTCGAACAACCTGGGTGAAACAGTCAAACCAATTGTGGGGGATTGCTTGAGATCATTAGAGGGCATTTTCTAGTCGGCATACATGCATAATTGTGTATAGGTGGATATTGACGTTTCATTGAAGCCTGGGGGAATGTGCATGTAGATCTCATCTAGAGAAAGACATTCTTAACATCAAATTAGAATAAAGTCCAACCAAAGTGATATGTCAATGACAATAGGATATTGGACAGTATTGAGTTTGGCTACACAGGAAAAGGTCTCTTGATAGTCAATCTCATACGTCATGGTGCATCCTTTAGCCACACGATGAGCTTTGTACTGCTCACATCCATCAGCATTGTGTTTCACAATAAAGATTCACATCCAACCAACAACGTGATTGCTAAAAGATTTAATCACAATACCTAAGTATGGTTCTTTCCAAGAGCTCTAATTTCCTCTTACTTGAAGAATAGAGTTTATAGATTGATTGTAAATACAGCAGCTAAATACAATTTATAGGCCTTGGCTAACTTAATAAAGGAAAGAGTAATTATGTACAAGATCTTTTAATTAATACAAATCTCCTACTTGATTCAAGGAAATCATATTATGATCAGAACAAATCTCATAATAATCAACTAAATATTCTAATATCTCTACACTTCCCCTCAAGATGGTGAATGGATGTCTATCATTCCCATCTTGCAAGTAAGTTCTCGAAACCGCTCTACTGGAAGCCCTTTGGTGAGCACATCAGCCAACTGAAGCCCCGAAGGAACATACTGTGTAGAAATAAGACCATTATCCAGTTTTTCCTTGATGAAGTGTCGGTCTATTTCTATGTGTTTTGTTTTATCATGTTGGACTGGATTATGAGCTATACTAATAGCAGATTTATTATCACATAAGAGTCTCATAGGAGCTGTAAACGGTATTTTCAAATCTCCTAATATGATCTTCATCCATAATAATTCACAAACCCCTTATGCCAAGGCCCTGAATTCTGCTTCTGCACTCGATCGTGCCACGACATTCTGCTTCTTACTCCTTCATGTCACTAAATTTCCACCCAAGAACATTCAATATCCAGTAGTAGACCTCCGATCAACAATTGACCCTGCATAGTCTGCATTTGTATAAATCTCCATAGGCAGATGTTCCTCTTTTTTGAATAGCAGTCCTCTCCCAGGACTTGCCTTCAAATATTGCAAGATTCTATTCACTGCCTGCAAGTGTCTTTCGCGTGGATCAAGCATGAAGTGACTAACCACACTAACAGGATGCTATGTCAGGCCTTGTGTGAGATAGGTATATAAGTTTTCTCATGAGTCTCTGATATTGAGTCTTCTCTACTTTTGGGCTCTCCTCATCACTCCCAATCCTGTGATTTTGCTCTATGGGTACTCCAGTGATTTTGCAGCCTAACTTACCAGTTTCATTGAGAAGATCAAGGACATATTTTCTTTGGGAAATGAAAATGCCTTGTTTTGAGTATGCCACTTCCATGCCTAGGAAATATTTGAGCTTTCCAAGGTCTTTCATTTCAAACTGAGCTGCCAACTCCTTTCTCAGAATCTGTTTTTCATATTCATCATTCCCTGAAATGATCATATCGTCTACATAGACTAACAGAAGAGTGAGTTTGCCATTTCTAGTGTGTTTTATAAAGAGGGTATGATCACATTGGCTTTGTTTATACCCCAGTGATACCATGGCCTGAGTAAACCTTCCAAACCATGCCCGGGGTGATTTCTTGAGCCCGTCTAGGGCTTTCTTCAATTTGCAAATCATATTTCTCCCTGAAGTAGGGGCATACCCCCTAGCGGAATCTCCATATATACCTCTTTTTCTAAATCTCCATGTAAGAAAGCGTTTTTTACATCGAACCGCTGTAACTCCCCATCAAAGTGGGTTGCTAAGGATAAAATTATCGTTGCTGTATTCATTTTTGTTACAGGAGCAAATGTATCTTCATAATCATTCGCATAGGTCTGAGTGAAACCCTTTGCTACTAACCTTGCCTTATACATGTCAAGTGCATGCATCTCTTCATTCATGGCTAGAATCCAATTCTTATTTTTTAAAGCTTCTTGTACTGATGCAGGGACTCTAATAGAGTCAATAGCTGAAAGAAAACTCTGGTGTTGAGCAGAAAGATTCTTAGTACACACAAACTGAGATATAGGATACTTGGTGCAACCGTGCAAGATCGTTTTTCTTTCTCAACGCAATGGGCAGGTCATCGGGGTTTGGCTCACAATATTTATTAGGCTCGGAGTTAGGAGCACTTAAACACAAATTATTAGGCTCAGGGTTGTGAGTACTTACCTCAGGGTTAGACGATTGGACTTGCTGATGGATTAAGACAGGTTTAGCTTTCTGTTGGTACTTTATATGGTCCCTATCATCACTATTGTGCACTCGTATTTGTTCAGAACCATTATCAGTAGCATCACTGTCCTTAGGAGCAGGAATAGGAAGTGAATTCAAGGGTTCATGTATTAAAGGAAGAATAGAAAACTCAGGGGACTCAACTTCCTATCTACTATCCCCCTGAACCTGAGAATTAGGGTAAAAAGATTCGGTTTCCAGAAAAGTGACATCCATGGATATATAAACACGGCGATTAGAAGGATGATAACACTTGTACCCCTTTTTATTTGGTGCATATCCTATAAAGATACATTTAAGAGCCCTGGGGTCTAACTTACTTCGATGAGGACCATGAACATGAACTAATGCAGAACAACCAAAAACATGACTCTGGAGACTTGACATAGTATAGTGGGCACTGATGGAAAGAAATTATTTATAAAATGTATAGGGCTAACACCAGATAAAACCCTAGATGGTAACCTATTGATTAAATAAGTAGCAGTGAACACAGCTTCTCCCTAATGAAACTTGGGAACATTCATTTGAAAGAGTAATGCTTTAGCGATTTGAAGAAGGTGACAGTTTTTCATTCAGCAACCCCATTTTGTTGTGGGGTGTCAACACAAGTCAATTCATGATCAACACCATTTTGTTTCAGAAAACCAAAAAAGTTTTGATTTACATATTCTTTCCCATTATCTAACCGTAACCGTTTAATAGGTTTTCCAAATTGGGTTTGAACCATGTGGAAAAAATTAACAAATAGTTGAAACACCTAATTTGTCTTTCATAAGGGAAACCCACATAATCCTAGAACATTCATCAATAAAAGTGACAAACCATTTTGCACCAGAAATATTTGAACTGGACGAAGGTCCCCAAACATCAAAATGAACCAAATCAAAAGGTTGGGCACTTTTATTATTACTCGAAAAAAACGTTGAACGGTGATGTTTGGAAAATTGACATACATCACAGTGAAAAGACTCAATTGACAATTTTGTAAATAAAGACCCAAGACGTTTGTGATGCAACCATATTTACTAGGAATTCCAAGATTCTAAACTCGCTTGATGACAACTACTTTCCTTATACGGAAGAGAGTATAACCCGTCCCATTTCTTAGAAATTCCAATCGTCTTCCCGTGGCATGATCCTGAAAAACACAATGGGAATGAAAGGAAGTTATTGCGCAGTTTAAATCTTTGGTAAGTTTGTGGATAGACAAAAGATTATTAGAGAGTCCTGGAACATGAAGCACACGCTTAAGGTGAAAAGATGAATTCAGGTTGGTGTTACCACATCCGGTAATGGGAGTTTGGGATCCATTAGCAACAGTGCTATGGTGTTTGTTTGGTAAAGTGGAATATGAAGATAAATGTGAGATGTGAGGTGTCATGTGATCTGTAGCACCAGAGTCAACAATCCAACTATGATCAGTACTCAAAGCATCAAAAGATAAAAATGTAGAATTCTTACCAGTCATTGTTAGAGAACAATTACCAGAGGGTGTACTCAAGGAGTCCATAAGTGCTCTTAGGCACTCACGCTCTGCTTCTGCACGCAAACACAAAAAACCTTTCTTTTAAATAACAAAAATTACTGCCAAAAGGCTGCTCCTCTAGGTTCTGTTCCAGAGGTGTTTTTTTCGCTTCTTTGATACTGCCACTTTACTAGTGTGGTATTTTCTTTCTAAACTATGCGTGATCTCGAAGAAAAAACTCTTTCTCTTCCACCGTTGACCCACAATGACCTCCCGATATTACAACGATCATACCGGTTAGATGGTCGCAACTACCTTCATTGGGCCCAACTTGTTTGTACCACTCTTAGAGGACGCGAAAGGATTAGTAAGGCAAAGCCCCTGCTGAGACAGATCCACGATTAACATGGTATCAGAGCCAATTCTGGTTGTGGTTTGACTGCTTGTTTATCACCCATGATTACGGGTAACTTGTTAAGGGTCTGTTTGGCCCATTTATACACCCCGATATTGTCCAGTCTGGTTCGGGCTGAAGAGGAGTGTTAGAGTATTTGTCCCACACCGGAAAGCTATAAAACAATAAACCACTATATAAGGCTTTGGACTACTCCTCCTATCAGGATTGACCTTTTAGGATGGAACCCTGTGTCTTAACACTCTTACATAGCATCCCTCCATTCTTTCATTCCTAATGCTTTAGAAACAGAGTTTGGTATGGGAATTTCATACATTTACAACAAACGAGGCATTAAAAGAAGCAAAGCTATCAAAGGCAATAAAATTAGTGAGAGGATATAGAGGATTTGTGGTGCATTGACGACTTGATGTGCACTTTTGCATAAAGCAATTGGACATGAGGGTGGTTGAGAAGAGTCATTATCTAGGTTAGTTGATTGGTCTTGTGTCAAATACAGAGTGGACTTGTATTTCCTTGAGTACACTTTTACCACAAGTGGAGGAGATAGTGGGTTATGATGAGAGGATTTAGTAAGTGAAGGAATGAGATGGTTTGGTGATGAATTGGATCGAGGTTCAAGATACGTTGACTACTGCTGAGTAGATTGAGAGTGCTGGGAAACATGTGAAGTGGTCAAAGTATCAAAAGATAGTAATGAGTGATTAGGTGGTGGTGGTGGTGGGATGTCTGGTGATGAAGGATGAGAGGTTGGGAGATTGTATGTGGTGGAGAAGTAATAGTATAGGTGGGAAGAGAGGGAGGAGATAGTATCTTGAGATAAAGGGGGAAAACTACTAGAAGGGGGTGTAAAAGGGTATATCTTCATGAAAGGTCACATTTGCATTAATGTAACTTCTTCTAGTGATAGGATTATAGTTTATAGCACTTGTATCCTTTCTGGGTTGGAGAATAGTCCACAAAGACACAAACAAATCATGGGTCCAATTACCCCTTATGAGGTGGAGGAATATGAACAAATGCAATACACACAAACACTTGTAGATCAAGATCAAAAGAAATATTAGTGAGGAAAGAAGTGGCGAAAAGAATCAAGAGGTGACTTGTTTTTTAGTAGATAAGTTGGAAATTTATTGATGAGATGACATGTTGTGAATGTGTGGCTTCCCCCAATACTGTTTAGGCATATTTAATCGGAATAATAAAGCCCGCCATAATTCAGGAACGTGACACTTTTCTTTGTGGTATCATTTTGTTGAGGTGTGTATGGATAGGAAGACTCATGAACAATACCTTATGAGAGGAAGAAAGAGGAGACAACTTGATTGAGGTATTCAAGGGCATTATTACTACGCAAGCGTTTTATATTGGTGGAGAATTAATTATTAATTATAAATCATATTGCATAATGGGGATAATGGAGTTCACCTTGCTCTTTTGTTTTAGCAGGAAAAACGCATATAAGACGTGTGCAATCATCATTTTTTCACTGATCAAAGAAACAAATCATTCCCTCTTTAACCAAACAATGTTTTGACCGAAACGAATTGACCATCCAAAATGTGAAAAACAACAAGACAACAATAAATTATGGCAAACAGGGTTTAAATGAAGAGATTGGGTCAAGATGTCTTGTAGGTGGTCTTGAGCTTCCTGGATGGTGGTCTCACCTTCCTCAACACCAAAGGAAACTTGATCTTGGAGTTATGGAATTGTTTGGTGCTCTCTCTTTTGCATAGTTGTGCTGGGATAGTAGCGGTCTTGATTATCTGAATGCAATGGTGGCGGACCCTGTGGCAAGAATCCATCTCAGTGTACATTTGTTCAACTGCGCCGTTCAAAGTCGTATCACGGAATTCCTTGTACATATTGTGATAGCCAGTTCTACTTTGGTACCTCAACCATATTCCAAAGTGACTTGACTACTTGAGGTTGATTGACCACTAATGAGTGATCAAAGTGAATTGACTACTTAAGGTTGATTGACCTTCACTAGACGTGATTGAACCCTTAGGGAAGAGACTCACATTAGGAGTTGAAGAGAGAGGGGTAGAGACACCCAAATAGACGTTGGAGGTGTGGTTGATAGAGAAGAGGCTTAGATGAGATTAAACTCAAGCTCTGATACAGATTTGTTAATGATAGGACTTATTGAACAAGAAGTGCATACCTATATTTATAGGGAATTAGTTTAATGGGTAGAGACAGCTAGGAAGTGTCCGTCCAAAACTCTAGGTGACTGTCTAGATACTGAACAAATTTAATAGTTATAAACTGAACCAACATTACTAAAGTAATAAAGAAACTATTTCCTAGACTAATAATGTATCTTTGGGCTGTCATCAGAAACATCAACAGTTTTTACCCAGGCACAAATTTCAATGAGAAAGCCAATAAACATTTTAAGTTAAAACAGCTTGCCTGCATATCTGTGTGACGACCAGTTATACGAAGAGCCAAGAAAATATTGATTCTCTATGTAAACAAAGCGCTGTGCAAATCTTATAGCACTCACATATGCAATGTGTATGCTTCTATCTATTCGCAAAGCCTTTCCACATACAAGATTCTGTAACAAACGTTAAAACATAAAAATGCATCCATCTTAATCTTATATTGTTATGATGTATTGATTATTACGCCCTGGTTTGGTTGGAAGGTGGGGATAGTGGATGAGTATTATGTGTTTGGTTGAGGAGTTGGGGGTAGGAGAGTAAAGTGAAGGAGCTATACGCTTCTCCAAAATCCTCATATTCACTCTTACTGTTTAGGATATTTCAGAAGAGTTGTATTTTCCCTGATTTGTTTTTCATCTTTTTTTTAATCAAAGTTTTATACATTACTATTGTTATACATACAGTTTACTATGTTTTTTATTACAGAAAAAATAAATATCAAATACAATACTGTTATATATTCTTCTAAAATAACAATAATTCATTCTCATTCCATTGAACCAAACATAACATCTTCTAAAGCTCTTCAGTTTTCCTCCCACCCCCTCTCCCCATTTCACCTCCTCTCCTCTCCTCTCCACACTTTTAGCCATATGAGGTTTACGTTTCAATGTGTATAGAATGCATCAACTGGGAAAGAAAGATCTGAAACTAGTCACTACTCATTTCACTGAGTTAATACCAGATTTAGTCCTTAACTTTCAATTTAATCACATTTCTGCCTTGAGTTTCATGTTCTTTCCAGATTAGTCCTCCTTGAATATATATGAAATTAGTTCTCCATCTAGAACAAGAGCAAAAAAGAAATTAGTTCTCCATATTGCAATCAACAGACATCTGTTAGTATATGGTTTTCCATTGTTATCCTCCTAGATGAAGAATAAACAAATTTGTTCACATAGAACTGAATCTTGGAAAGGAAATGAAACCCCAGGTAAAAATGTAGTCAATTTGAAAGTCGTGGATTAAATGTAGAACTGACATAGTACGCAAGGATAAAACTTGTTACAAACTCAATAAAACTCCTGATCTTACTAAAGCTTAGATTCTACCTGAGCCTCAGCTTCCTTAACATCCTTCGGAAATCCTTTGACAGATCCGGAATCAATTGATCTAAACACCTGAGAATTTAAATAGTATTTACCTGATTTAAACAATCATTTGTTGCAACAAATGACTGAAGCAATAGAATATAGTAAATTTATGGTAACCTGAACATGCCAATTCTCTGGATCGTCTTCGCTGGTAATACATACACTAAGCTCCCCATCTGGTCCCGCAGAAGGAAGATTAATGTACGGGATTAGTCTGACATTAAGCAAAGCGTCTTCACTCCGATGCCTAATCTTTTTCATATTTAAATACATCCGTCTTGCGGATTTTCTATATCTTTGTTCAAAGTTAGTCAGTACATCATAAGCAGCAGGACCATCAATTTTACAGTGTAAATCATGCCATGGTTGTCTAGGGCCCGACACACAATCCTGTACATTTCACAGGCAACAATTAAATTAAGTGCTTGTTTGATAAGGGTTATTACGCAGACTAAGCCATACAAGGCTACTAATACTCCACAAGGAGTCTAAAACAGCGACTGTATGTCCTATCACAGCAAGACAAAAATTGTAAATACATAAAAATCATTATGCACCAACTTTTACGTTCATGTACAATGAAAATAAAAGCAGAATCAAAATTAAGATAAGGTAGAAAGTGTGCTAACTTTACAGCAACTACAAAATACTCCCTTTGTCCCACTATCTTTGCCTCATCTTTCCCTTTTTGTATGCCTCACTAAGTTTGTCTCATACCATATTTGGTAATATTTGTGTAAATCTAATTCATTCTTAATTGATTCATACTTTATCTCTTAGATAGACTGTTAGAGTCGGTTATAAGTTTGTTCTTGTTATTGTTACTTTAGTTAAGTCAGTTGAGCTGGCCAGTATAAATACTTTGTACTCTTCTCAATATCATTTCTCAATATTCTTCTCTCTGTAAGCTTTCTAATATGGTATCAGAGCTTTGCTCGATCCATTAATGGCGATCACGACTGAAACTTCCTCCAATTCTTCTACCTCAACTGGAACATCTGTGTCTCCAGTCACTTTTACGCATCCATCCTCTTCCAGTAAAACTTGATTCTAACAACTTCCTCTTCTGGAAACATCACTGATAGGAATGGGCCTATTATTGTAGATAATAATAAGTGGGCTTTTACTATAAATAGAAGTTAATAAGCTAGCAAAAGTAGGCTGTCATTTGGTTGGACTTAGACTTTGGAGACTGGGCATCTCGAATTGTCCGTGGCTACTGTATCCCTTCTGTTCGGTTCATCATATTGAATAGAGCTTTCGATCTGTTCTTCTACAATTCCTACTGATTCCTATCAATGGTATCAGAGCCGTTGCTCCTGGGGATCGGAAATTGAATCTCGATTGCAACCTAGTTTGCATTAAAGAGGTGGATGGTCAGAACGAGATAAAAAAAATGGAAAACCATGTTCATACATCGGAACGAGAGAGGACGGAAATGGCAAACATCGCAGCTTCTCTCGCAGCGATGAACGAACAGATTCAGAGCCACTTTGTGACTTATATGGCGGTATTGAATGAACAGATTCAGAGATTTTCTTCTTCACAATCGAGATTTTCTTCTTAGCAATCGCGAACTTCATCATCGTTGCCAATAGCTAGTCTCAGCGTGAATCCGTCGCGAGCCACTATTTCAACTTCGCCATTGCGAACGGTTTCTCCCAGTTCGCAGTCGCCAATCCCTTCTACTGGTTCGCAGATTTCACATCAATCGCCAGCATCTTCTTCCACTACGCCAGTCGATTCTCACTTTTCGACAACTTCATCATCGAAGACTCTGACGCACGCTGTTTCTCAGAGTACACAGGTTTTGTCACCATCATATTCTCCTGGTTCGCAGCTTAAGTCTGTTTATCAATGGCAATCTCAGCTTAAGTCTCATAATTCGTCTCCAGCGAGTCTTTCTGCGTTCGTCTATCCTCACAGTTCGCAGACTCCATCTCTACCTGTTGTTCTGAGTTCTCAGGATGAGACACATTCGGCTTCTCCCAGTACGCCAGCGTCTTTTCAAATCGCTTCTCACAGTCCACAAGTTCTATCGCGCGGCCTGGAGCTGGTTAGCTGGCAGCAAACTCACTCTGAAGATACTTTCATCTATGGTGACGAAGGAAAAGAGGAGAAATCTGCTGTGGTGACTCAAGCCTCTAGTGCCATTGAACATGAATCGGCTGATGATTCAAATACTACTATCACAGTAAAAGTAGACGAACATCAAGCTACCTCAAAGACGGCTGCTATTAAGAGAATTAATAGCGAAGAGAGAGATGCAGTATTCCACAGAGTCATAGAGAAAGGAATATCATCACACATTATACATGATGTCACTACAATGCACCGGTCAATAAAGGATATTGCCATAACTCAGAAAGAGGAACCTTTAGGGAACATTGTGAGAACCAGTTCTCTGGATTTTGGTGCCGGGACTGCTTGTATAGAGGGAATTGAGAAAATAGCAGAGGGAAACATTATGAAGAAGGATGTAGATTACGAGATATGTATGGGTTCTCGGAATAAAGTTGTTGAGGTTCTGGAAATTCCAAATCAACCGTTAGGTCGCTACTTTGAAGATTGTAAGGTGTTGGTTGACAGTAGGTTACTATCAGAATGGCAAACTGATAAAGAAAAGGAATCAGCAGCAGTTTATGCTGGCTCGGAAACCACTATTGATGCCAGAAAGGCTGTTGAAATTGTTAGGGGAATGGCACAGAGAGGGATGAAGATTGAAAGGCAGGGTTGCTTTGTTCGAATCTACAATGGGGGGCAAGGTTTGGGTCCACGGTCTGAGTTTGGAGTAGATCCTAGCTCTGGAATAAACTCAAGGTATCATGTTGAGCAAGTTGTTAAGTGCAGAGAGGTCAGTTCTACCCCTACAGCAAGTCGAGTCAACTGCAGTACAACAAGACCGATAAGGTTGTCCGAAAAGGAATTGGTTAAACCGGGAAAGGAAAGCGTTCTTTCAGAAAACAGGATTGGCAAGCTTCTAGTCTGGGGCTCCTCAGATCCTGGATTGAGAGGGGCTGATGAGAGTGATTTTGAATATCATTCTGGTGCAATCAATGTGGAACTGGACCCTACCCTTCAGGCGGTTGTGTTTGATGTCTCCCAGATAGGGTACCTCCTGGACCAATTTTTAAAACAAGAAACTGTGAAGGGAATCACAGCTGCCAGAACATTGAGGGATGTACTGAATATTCATTGTGAAGCTATTCAACAAGCAATCTGTAATCGTAGCTCTCTTCATTGGCAATCCAAACAGGAGATTGGGCAGATTGGTAAAACTCAATTCCAGCTTGAACAAAGCTATCAGAGTGGTAATGATGATACTCTGAAGATAGGGGATCTATTGAGGCTTTTGTTAGAAGAAGAAAGGAGGAAGATTCAAGCATGAAAGATCTTAATCCAGCAACCAGTCAAGTACTTGGAGGGAAGAGGTGCAAGAATAAAGTGGAAGTGGAAGATCATGACTGATTCCTATCACCCACCTTGAGGACAAGGTGGTTGTTTAGGGGGGAGTATTGATGGGAATGGGCCTATTATGATATGAATGGGCCTATTATTGTAGATAATAATAAGTGGGCTTTTACTATAAATAGAAGATAATAAGCTAGCAGAAGTAGGCTGTCATTTGGTTGGACTTAGACTTTGGAGACTGGGCATCTCGAATTGTCCGTGACTCCGTGGCTACTGTATCCCTTCTGTTCGGTTCATCATATTGAATAGAGCTTTCGATCTGTTCTTCTACAATTCCTACTGATTCCTATCAATCACATTGAATCAGTAGTATGAGCACACAAACTACTTCAATTCCTTGTTAAACCTGTTATTCCAGATGGATTTGTCAGTCGCGATGATGAAACTAATGGAATTGAGAATGATGCATACATCACCTGGGAACAACAAGACCAGATGTTGTTCTCGTGGCTTCTTGCATCGTTATCTGAATCATTTCGCGCTCGAGTCATTCAGTGCAGACACTCGCACCAGCTTTGGACTGAAATCAACAAGCATTTTCAATCGCATATCTTAGCGAAAGCAAGACAACTCAAATCGGAATTATACAACACAGCTAAAGGTGACAAATCAATCTCAGATTATCTTCTTCGTATTCAAACTATCGCGGATAACCTAAGTGCTATCGGAGAGTAATCCTTGAAGGTCTTCAGGAAGAGTACGAATCTCTTGCTTCATCTATTTTTTCACGGAGTGTTCTAGATCCTCCAACTCTTTCTGAAGTTGAATCCCTCATGTCTGCTAAAGAAATGCGACTACAGAAGCTTCGTGATTCTTCGCAACAAACATTATTCTCTGCTAATGTTGCTCGTTTGGAAATATCTCCTCAAATTACTGATCAAGCTTCTCAAACCTCTTCAGATACTGCTTCTTTCCAGGTTGCTCAATTTAATAATTCTGACATTCATTCCTATAGAGGTAGAGGTCGTGGACATTTTGGAAGAGGTCGTGGTCGCTTTGGTGGAAGAAATCCTATAGTTTGTCAAGTTTGTGGGAAAACTGGTCATCATGCACTTATCTGTTACCATCGCTATAATCCAGCCTACAATGTTCCTAACACTTCTCCTTCTTCAAACCAATGCAACCAGTACTCTCAGTACTCAAATCCATCATCCACTCCAAATTCACAAAGGCCACCTTCACACAACTCAAATCCTGCTGGTTCAAATTTTGTTGCTTCAAATCTTCCTAATCCCAATCCTACTAGTCCACATCCACAGCTTTTCAACTGGCATCAACAACACCAGAATAACTGGAATCAGCAATCATACCATCCTTCACCCTGTGCTGCTTGGGCCTGTGCTACTCCATCTGTTCTAGGACCTCCACCACAAGCTCAAACCTGGTTCCCTGACTCTGGAGCTACACATCATGTTACAGCTGATCCACTCAACCTTCAACACAGTGAGACTCTTGCTACTACTGACGAGCTCTTTATGGGCAATGGTCAAGGTGTGGACATTAAGTCTATAGGTTTTTCTACCTTCCCTTCACCTTATCAATCATCCCTGTATCTATCCCTTAACCATATCCTTCATGTTCCTTCTATTACTAAAAATTTGCTTAGTGTTAGCCAGTTTGCTAAAGACAATAATGTCTTTTTTGAATTTCATCCTCATGATTATTTTGTGAAATCTCAGGTTTCTAAACAGGTTCTTTTACATGGTTCCCTTGGAGATGATGGTCTTTATAAGTTTGAGTCAATTCCAGCTTTTGGTCTCCAACAATCTGTTACACCAATCCAGTCCACTCTTGTTTCACCAATGTCTAGTTCTGTTTTGTCTTCTTGTAAATTGTAATGATACCAAATCTTGTAATGTTTCTTAAGCATGTAATCTGTGGCATCTAAGATTAGGCCATCCTCATTTTGAGGCTTTGAAAACTGTTCTTCAACAATGTAATATTCCTTATATAAATAAAAACAATGTTGAGTTTTGTTCAGCATGTTGTCTTGGTAAAGCTCACAGATTACCATCATTCACTTCTACTACTGTTTTTAGTTCCCCTTTTGAACTTGTTTTTACTGATCTATGGGGGCCTGCTCCTATCACATCATTTGATGGTTATACCTACTACATCTCATTCATAGATGCACATACCAGATACACATGGATATATTTTCTGAAAAGAAAATCTAATGCACTTCAAGCCTTGACCAATTTTTACCAATACATTCTTAATCAGTTCTCTGTCTCTATCAAATTTATACAATCTGAGTGGGGGTGAATTTAGATCCTTTACCCAAATGCTTTCTGAAAAAGGAATCACTCACAAAATTATTTTCCCTCATACACACCATCAAAATGGTGTTGTTGAACGTAAACACCGCACCATTGTTGAAAAAGGTCTGTCTCTTCTTGCTCATTCATCTATTCGTCTTAAATTCTGGGATGCTGCCTTTGCCACTTCTGTTCATCTAATCAACAGAACACCCTCCAAGTCTATTTCCAATCTCAACCCCTATTTCAAGCTCTATGGCTCAATCCCAGATTACTCCTTTTTAAAAGTGTTCGGTTGCTCTTGTTTTCCCTTCATCCGCCCATATAACAAACATAAGTTAGATTTTCATTCTGAAGAATGTGTGTTTTTAGGCTATTCCTCAAATCATAAAGGTTATAAGTGCCTATCATCCTCTGGAAAGATATATCTCTCACGAGATGTTATCTTCCATGAATCCAAATATCCTTATACTACACTCTTTTCTCCTCCTAAGCAACCAACTGTTTCGAACCCTGTTTCTGCACCTCTGACTATTCTTCACCAACAACATCAACTAACTTTCACAACCTCATCATCTTCTTCTCCAACCCAATCCTCTTCTTCAGCTTCATCTGATTCATCACAATCTGAATCACATAATCCTGATGCATCTCAATCTGTCTCTTTACATCCTGACAATCAAGAACCTTTTCAACAGTCCTCTTCTTCACAAGTCACAACAGCCTTCTTCTCCAGATGTATCCCCAAATCATAATGAGTCCTCTCCATCTTCTTCTTCTACAGTTCCTCTAGTTCCCCTGACCAACATTCATCCTATGAGAACTAGAGCCAAGTCTGGTATAGTAAAACCTAGACTTAATCCCACACTACTATTAGCTCATATTGAGCCCAGGTCAATTAAGCAAGCTCTCTCTTCACCTCAATGGTTTGAGGCCATGAAAACTGAATATGATGCTCTATTAGCTAACAATACTTGGACTCTTGTTCCCTTACCCCCATATAAGCAAGCTATTGGGTGTATGTGGGTCTACAGAGTCAAGGAAAATGCAGATGGCTCTCTGAACAAGGATAAGGTCAGGCTGGTGGCCAAAGGGTTCCATCAAAGATTTGGCTTTGACTTTGGAGAAACCTTCTCTCCAGTGGTTAAGCCCATTACCATCAGAATCCTTCTCACAATTGCTGTATCTAATCACTGGCCTATTCAGCAGCTTGATGTCAATAACGCCTTCTTAAATGGAGTTCTTGATGAAGAGGTATACATGGTACAGCCACCAGGTTTTAAAGATAGAGACACTTCCTTGGTCTGTAAGCTTCATAAGTCACTTTATGGACTGAAACAAGCTCCAAGAGCTTGGTTTCTTAAACTCACCACAGTTCTATATAATATTGGTTTTAAGCAAAGCAAGTGTGATCCATCTTTGCTTTTCTTTCTATCATCTGGTGTTCAGATCTATATCTTGATATATGTTGATGATATGCTAGTTATTGGGAATAACTCTACTGCAATTGCTCAGATCATACAGAAACTTGACTCATCCTTTTCTCTTAAACATCTAGGAGATTTAGACTTCTTTTTGGGAATGGAAGCTAACAGACTACCCGATGGAAGTTTACATCTCTCTCAGGCCAAATACATAAGAGATCTTTTAAGTCAGACTGGCATGCTTGAGTCAAAAGAAGTCAAAACTCGTATGATCAGCACTTGTAAACTTACCAATGAAGGCAGTGACTATCTACCAAATCCCTCCTATTATAGGTCTATAGTTGGTGTTCTGCGATTTGCTACACTAACTAGACCTGAAATTTGCTATGTTGTTAACAAAGTTTGCCAATTTATGGGTACACCACTACAATTACTCATGGACTCATCATCAAACCTCTTCCCTTGTCAGCTATGCCTTTTCCTCTTTCAGCATTTTGTGATGCAGATTGGGCATCAGATCCCACAGACAGAAAGTCCACAACCGGGTCTTGCATCTTTCTTGGATCAAATATTATCTCTTCGTGGTCAAGAAAACAAGTTCGTGTTGCAAGATCATCAACAGAAGCTGAGTACAGAAGCCTAGCAGACACTACAGCTGAACTTTTATGGATACAATTCCTACTGAAAGAACTTCAAGTCCCATTAACTATTCCTAAAGTATACTGTGATAATCTAAGTACTGTTCAGCTTGCTCACAATTCAGTCTTACACTCCAGAATTAAGCATTTGGAAATTGATCTCTTCTTTGAAACAGAAAAGGTGCATCTGAAGCAGCTTGAAGTCTTTCACATTCCAGCTCTTAATCAACCGGCTGATATACTAACCAAGCCTCTATCTTCTTCCAGATTTCTGGAACTCAAGAACAAACTTAGTGTGATTGATTTTACTTCTCAATCACCCTAACTTTGAGGGGGGAATGTTAGATAGACTGTTAGAGTCGGTTATAAGTTTGTTCTTGTTATTGTTACTTTAGTTAAGTCAGTTGAGCTGGCCAGTGTATAAATACTTTGTACTCTTCTCAATATTGAATAAGATCAGTTTATCATTTCTCAATATTCTTCTCTCTGTAAGCTTTCTAATATTATCAATTCAATACCAATCACATAATTCTGATTTTCTTAATAATCTTGCCACTTCCTCATGGCTCAATCTTAGTGGGACGGAGTGACCGAGCCATACTCATCCCAAGCATGTGGTCCTATTAACATTCACAAATACACAACCATAAGTCGACCAGAGAGATTAACTTCTCAGGTTCTTAATAGGCATATGGGAAATACAGAACTCAAATAGTCAAGTATTGAAAAGACAGTGGATAATTAAGGTGGTTGTTGAATACTTAAATAGGACCTTAAATTTCAGAACATGAGAACTTTAATGCATTTTTCTTCAGAGTATACGAGAGGATGAATGAGAGCTACTTACAGAGAAGGTAGGGTTGTGTATATCATTTTCAAAGATAGTATCAAGATCATTGAGAATCCGATGTTGAGGGGTGTCATATCGGCCATCACATAAATCCAGGCCACCAATAAAAGCTGTAATTTTCCTACAATTTTCAGGAGCTTCAGTGTCAACAAGAACACACTTCTGATGATGAGTAAAAAGGTTTCCAACAACCTGTCACAGATTATTTATTTCAATAAAAAACAAAATAATGATAACATTTTTATTTAAAAACACGAAGCTGGACCTAGGCTTGATATCTATTTCGTTCTTAGAATTATGAAATGAATCTCAAATATACAATATTTAAGGGCCAGTTTGACATGTCTTATACCAAAGTGCTTTTATAGAAAGTGATATACTAGTGATAAAAAGCACTAAACCTGCTTTTTCAAAAAGAGTCAATCCTGTGGACGGCTGTGGTTTCTTAGATACGCACAAAAAGAACTTTTTAACAATTAAAAGCATTTATTCATTTTCATGGCAAACGTTTCTTCTTTAAGTCGAAGTGCTTTTCTTTACATATAAGTCACTTTTTTTAATATAATCCCAAACGCTATCTTGGTAGACCAAGACAGAAAATATAGCCAGTCACCAGCCTTTTGCTTGAAAATGCTGAGTTTATTGCTGGGGGATCTAGGACAAAGCACACAATGAACACTAGAGTGCTTGAAAAACTTTCTTGTTTCTTCGTCGTGTGTTTGCATAACTCCTTCCTGAAAATATCATAGGATCATGATTTAATCTCAAGATCATAAGAAACACGGTTCACGGTTTTGTACATCCAAGTAAAGACCAATAACTAGCAGTGTGCACAGTTCTCTATTTTGTACATCCAAAATACAGACCAGTAACTAGTGGTGTGCATTGCAGTGCAGTTGACAGAACCAAATAGAATTATCCCAACCAAAACTGATCCATGTATGATTTGGTTTTAGTTTGTATGTTTTAGCCAAGCCAGTAAGCCACAGTAATCTGAATCAAATCAAAACCAATAAATACCTAACGAAAATAAAAGAAACATAAAATCTCCAATAAAAAATCCTAACCGCGCTCAACCCGAATTGAGTTTGATTTTAGCTAGGCAATCATTTCCCAAATCTGTTTCATCGAAAGTAGACAAAACAAGAACCGAAAATGCCAAACCGAAAGAGAAAAAACAAACATGAACTCCAAATGCCCACCAATAACCAAAACACCTTTCACAAGCTAAATCAGTGAGGAAAGAAGACTAATTGATTAAATAAAGTAAAAAACAGACATCTGGTTATAGTTGTATTCTCTTTGAATTACCGTTTTCAGAAGGAAGTCATGATTTGATGTTTTGTCATCCCAGATGAGCAGAATAACACGCACTCCTTCTTGAGACTTATACTTCAACAAATCTCCAAGGCACATTGCCCCTGGAGAAGGCAATGGCCTAGTAGGTTCCCGAACAAGCTTCACCCGGTGATAGACAGACCATCCAACAATATAAACCAAATGTTTGGCATCCATGATGGCGTGACATATATCTTCCCAACACTTATTTTGTTTAAAAAAGTTCCCATTATCAAGTAAAATGTCAGGCAGCATTGAATCAGGCACATGAGCGTCTTGATAAAGTGTAACCCTTCCTCCTCTCCTCATTGGGAAATAAGTGTTTGGCACTCCAAGAGAGTCACTCAGGACACCAATACCATCTTTGTATATAAGATTGGTAGCGGCCGGTCTGTACTGAATAGAGAGATGCAATTCAGCACCGGCTTTCACTAGATAGCCTGAAGATCCAAGGATGGGGAACCAACCACTGACTTCATTCCCACTGAGGATATCATCCACGGGTATATCCACAGTTCCAATCATTTCTGCCCCTACACCATCATTGTCCTTGACATGAAACTCAACTTTATCAACCACGTGAGCTATCGAGGCCCGAAAATGCTCGTCCCATGATGGGTTTTCACAGTTGCGTATCACTGCAGTCCGGGCTATACTTGCTCCTGATACACAAACGGATACATAAGGGTCACTGGTGTCACGGTCATTGAATTGGGCTAGACCTTTTACTTGGTCCATGTTTGGGAGCGATTTAGCTTCCATAATCCACAAGTCTAATTCTCCGTGCAAAAGAACTGACCCGAATAAACCAAAGCTATTTTCCAAAGGAGGTGCACTTGTTTGTTTCTGCAAACCCCCAACACGGGATAACTGGGGTGATGTGTGCTGGGCTTCCATTATTTATAGTAGATTTTCTGATAAAACAAACAAATACTAGATCCACAATATGCACAGTTTCTTCTTTGGGACCCAAAAAGATGTTGACTTCATGTGCATGTTAGAGTTTACTCAACAGACACCGTGAAGTATTCAACCAGAACCATTATACTGGATATAAATGTCAATAATCAGCTATTTAGCCCATAACCAAGATCTTCAACAAAGCCTTCAAATTTCAGTCTTGCGGTTTTGAGTCAAACAATCCTGTATCACTTCAAGATCATAAATGAATTCATAAGTATAAAAATCACACAGCACACAGAATGTCTTTAAATTGAACTCCATTTCATTATGAACACCTTATTCCTAACTAGTTAGGTTTGTGATATTAAATTATAGTACAAATTCATTTAAACATTTAATTAACACTATAAATTCATGTAAAAAATGTACTGATGATGTTTTATGGCATATGCACTTCCTTTGCAACTTTCACATGAAGGAATAATGAGATCATAATTTCTAAAACCGGCATCATCACAGGCTATTTCCACAACAGGTATAATATTGTGGGACAATGTTGGTTAAGATATTTTCTGTTCAGCTATTGTCTCCATTACAATATATTGGAACTCTATGGAACGCGAACAAGTCAAAATCATAGAAATAGAAATAATGTACTGAAGACTATTCCCAAAACATCACTATTATGATTTTTATAGCCACAACATTTACAGAATTGAGAAATACCCTCATAAAATAAGAATATACTTAAAGGTTAAAACCCTTCTAATTTCCACATCAAAGAACTTAGATATCCCCTTTGAATTCCGGAACCTAGAAAACTTAATTCAATTACTCTTCATATCAGAACTATGATGCAAGATAAAAAAAGAATTCACATTGCATCACAATTATGGTTATACGGTCACATTATATACAAATTTGCACACATAGAAACACTCAACAGACAAAGTCCTTTATAACCCTTCTGATTTGCACATCAATATTTGAAAGTGCGTGTAATTCTCAGTTCTGCGTGTCAGAATACACAGGCTTCGCACAATACGATAGATTATGATCACTAGAATTGAGAACCCACATGCAAAAGACAAAATCATACAATTTCTTCGCCGATTTGGAGAGAACAGAGATGGGGTTAATTGAGCATGGAACGTTTACCAGTAAAATACAATAAAGGGAGAACAGAAGAAATGGGAGAACAACGAAGAGGATTAGCAATGACCACAGGAGACCGGGATTGGCGGGAAACTTGCCATGCCAAGAGTATTTACGAGTTGCCATGGGCTACTGTCCTCCGCCCTTCTTTTCTTTTCCCTTCGCCGATATATGAAAGAGTGACGTTACCTTGGGAATTACGGGATTCCCACCCCACGTGACAAGTTAGTTAACAGGGAAAGTTCCGGAAATAGCTAATTTGGAAATTGAGAATAGGTGCTTTAATTTACAAAAAAATGTTAAATAAGGTCTATATAGGAGCTTTTGTCCGGCCGACCTCATTTGGGGCGGTTCTCAGTGGAATTTTTCGATGAAATTTTGTGAGAATCTTATTCATTAAATCTAGTTTACTCATACTAAATTCCAGCTAAAACTTCAATCGGGAAGTCATTCAAATAAATTCTTGAAGATCACTGCGCTTTTAACTGCGCACTCGATTGAAATTTTAGCTGAAAATTGGTATGAGTCAACTAGACTTAATTTATAAGATGCTTAAAAAGTTTCGTTGAAAAATTCCACCAGGAACCGCCCCAAATGACGTCGGCAGGACATAACCTCCTATATAAAGCCTTATTTGACATTTTTTTGTAAGTTGGAAGCCCTATCTTACCCTTTTCCCTTTGGAAATTCTAAAATAGAACTATCATGTTTTTTATTCCCACAATAGGACTAATTATTGTCATGTTTAGAAAATATTGCCATGTTTGAAATCTAGTACTGCCAAAACATTGCAGTAATTGATCTTATTTTGGGAATAAAAACATGACACTCCTATTTTAGAATTTTCAAACTGTTTTAGTCATATTTTGGGTAATATCTCTTAATAAAATAGGCAATTAGAATGGTTTTACTTTGACCTTAATTTGCTGGTCTGGTTTGTTTAGCGAGACAAAATTGTTGTTAGTAAGACTAAATCATACAAACTTTACAAGATTAGAACTTAGTTAGTTTTTTTTCCATCCATATGCTTTATTTAGCTCTACTTTAGGAAACTTGTTTTTTTAGTTTACGTTTTTACCCTCCACTTTAGGCTGCGTATTAAAGCCCAATAACCTTCGGCAACGACCGATCTAAGGTTGGACTCGGGCCGGGCCAACCGGCCCAGAACCGGACCGGCCCGCTACTGTGCGGGCCCGGACCTGCCCGGTGAATCGGTTGGTTGGCCGGTTCGGGCCACCCTCCCCGGTGGGATGGCGGTTCGGGCTCGGGCCCTTCAAAAGGTGAACCGGCCCGGGCGGTTCGGGCTCGGGCCGGGCCAATTTATTTTTATTTTTATTTTTGATTTTTTTTAAGTTTTTGGGTTGGGCTGGATATTTTGGGTCATTTGAGGTGGTTAGGGTTGGTTTGGGGGTGAGGGGGGTGGGGGTTAACTAGGAAAAGCCAAAAAAAATCTAGAACCGAGGCCCGGCCCGGACCTGGGGGTTACCCGGGCCGGTTCCGGGCCTCCCCTTCATGAACCGAGGCGCGAACCGGAACCGGTCCATCCTTAGACCGATCTCTTAAGCAATCACCATTTCTTCTTCTTTCGTTCTTCGTATGTGAAATCACGCGAGCTCATGTTCTTCATCTCTTTAATCATTCGTGCTCACTTCTCCATATTCGGTCGTGCCTGTATGGTCCACGAATTGTTTTGAAGCTTCGTTCATCGAGCTTCATACGTTTTGCAAATTTTCTGCACCGTTTAGTAAGTTTTATCGCTCTTTTTTTCAAAAAAAAATGTTACTGTTTGATGTTCTCATATATAAACGAAATTCGTATCACTTTTGCCATTTTCAGGTTTGAATTCTCTTTATGGCCTTGAAATTGCAATTCAAAACGTTTGTCTTTTGTGTTTTTCGTTTCTAACATTGATTTCTGTTTTTTTCTGCTTCATACAATTCTTTGATTGTCTTGTAGTGAACAAGAAATAGCCAGTTGTAGTCCAAGAACTTGCTGAAATGGAGGGTTCAGCTGATGCAGATAATGTGCTCGACAAATTTCCTGAACCAGAAACCAGTGCAGCCTCCCCAAAAATTTGGACCGGTCTGTTTCATAACAACATGGATACTATTCAATGTATGCAACCGGTGTATTCCCTACCCTCCGGGAATGACGTTTTGCTCGTGGAAGAAGAAGATATAATGTCATTGGTTCAAACATGGGGATACTGAGTTGTGGGACGTTTTACTAGAAATTTTCCAGATTCTAAAGTTGTTGACATTTTGGTATCGTCGTGGGGAGTCCCTTGTACTTTCAAGAATCCTATCCCGATATGTAGTTCTTAGTTGGAGATTTCCCAAAATAAGAGTAAATGGAGTTTGTAATTCGAAAATATGATTACTATGTTTTTATTCCCGAAATAAGACTAACATGACAGTATTTGCTGTCATCTTGTAAACGTGACTGCCAATTAGTCGCAGTACAGTGCATTTAACATGACAATATTAATTATAATTAATGACGGTATTTTTCAATTATGGCAGTATTTTCATACATGGTAGTAACGACTCCTATTTCGGGAAGAAAAACATAGTAGTCATGTTTTGGAATTTCAAACCTCATTTGCATTTGAAAGACTTATACTCTTTTTTCTCGCTATTTTTAACTAACACGGTTTGTTGGCATTGAAACTTATGTTAATTGCCATACTTAAGTAGCAGACATATTCATCAAACTTGATGTCTTCTTATTGTGTGCTTAATGACTATCTCACTTGTTCATAATTCATTGTTCTAAAAATCGTTCTAGACGCCTTACTAGTCCCCGCCTAGGCTAGGCGATGGTCGGGCATCCCAATTTTCGTCTAGGCGCCCCGACTAATTGATTTTCCGTCTAAGTGAATTAGTCAGCTGTCTATGGTGTCTAGTTGCCTGCCCAGAGTGTATAATTGGCCGCTAAACTCGCCGAACATTACTTTACTTTTTATTTTTATTTTTCTAAAGGAATAAGGATTTTAACTGTAGTCACGGATATAAAGAAACGAATTTGTAAATTAAGATAAAAACTATATATATACCTAAATTTTACTATTATTTATATTTATAACATCATGAAGTCAAGTGATTAGTTAACATTACTACGTATGATTAAATGTAAGAATTGTATCATTCATGTTTGTTAATATATGTATATTATATATTTTATACACACAAAAATACAATATTAATAATCATATTTATGTAAAAATATTAACAAAAAATAAGGGGGATGTATTGAATATGGATTGTGGTGGATTTTTTTTAATCCGTGGACTTTTAAAAAAATCAATAGACTTTTTTATGAATGAATTCTATGGACTTTTAAATCCATGGATAAGTTTATTGACTTTCAAAAAGTCCATAGACTTTTAAATGCGAACCACCACTGCTGGTTGTCGAAATTTTCACCTAGACCACTGCTACCGATCTGCTCGTCCGCCTCCGACACTTGAGTTCCCCGCTGTCGTCATCGGACTCATCCACAACCAACAAAGTCGATTTGGTTATGCAAGGGAGTTATGGACAATTACTTATATTAATTAATTAAATTAGGGGTGACTATGTAATATTTAGTCCTATTTAAGGAAAATCAAACATATGATCATGCTTTAAGAAGAATGCTACTCCGTATGTTTTAGTCCTACCCTGAATAATTTCCTCTGTATAATACAAAGTATGATAAGAAACAAATAGACAAACAAACAAACAAATAAATAAATAAATAAATAAATAAATAAATGAAACAAATGTAATTCATATAGCAACACAAAGTTCTACAAGAATAAATGAAGCATAAGAATCCAAATTTATTTTTATTAAAAAAACTCAAAGTTTCAAGAATGCTCAAGAATTTTGGTCATTTTATTAATGAGTAAGAACATTAATCGTTACACTCATTGCTACATGTGGTACAAGCACAGTTGCAATCGAGTTTATCTTCTTAATAATTGTTTTCTGTTGGGTTAATGGCCTACCAGGGCCGGCCCATCAACCCCTAGGGATGAACGTAGCCTGGCATAGTCAGGCCCTAGGGTCCAAGGGCCAGAGGACGTACGTAGCCCAGCATGGCCAGGCCTCAAGATCAATGTCAGGGGACGAACGTAGCCCAGCGTAGCCAGGCCTCAAGGCCCAAGGCCCAGAGGACGTACGTACCCACCAGAGGACCAAACCTCAGGGCCCAAGGGCCAGGGGACGTACGTAGCCTCCGGAGGATCAAGCCTCAGGGCCCAAGGGCCAGGGGACGAGCATCTTGTGGACTACACTTAAGGGCCCAGGTTGCCACCAGAGGGCCGAGTCCAGTTTAGGGGACGGACATCCCCCACGCTATGGCGGGAAACCAAGATCTTGGCGGGAAGCGCATTTAATGCGGGAGATTTGGTAGTTGAGAACATGTCGCCCACAGCCGGCCACGTCAGCCCCCCCAACCACCATGGGATATTATAAATAGTCGCATTTATTTCATTGTAAAAGGTTTGCAGTTCGACACTCCAGAATTGTAATAGCATCAACAACACGTAGCATAGCTCAGTACGTTCGGCCCTTTGGCTTGTAATCGCTAAAGTAAATGAAATACAGTTGTTAACCCACTCCCCATTGTTTAGTGAGCTTGTTTTGCTTTCCACCCATTCGAAACCCCCAGGTTACGTGTTGGGCATGCGGGTTGAGGAGAATAAACCTCAACATTTTCTTTTCATTTCTATCTTGTAAAATTTTGTGTACTTATTTACGGTTATATATTTATTAATTTGAAATTATATTTTTATGTGTTAGCGATTTAACGATGAAAGAAAGTAATAGTTAAAATATTTATTTTCTTAATGGTTAAGTGACGACGTACCAGAATTGCACTAATGTAATATTATCGATTCTTATATCAGTTCTTCTAGAAACTTCTAGAATCGAACCAGTATGGGATTAACGAATCAAGGGGGGTGGGGCAAGCTGAAGAAGAAAAAAAAATGGAAGGAGAGGGGTGGAGCGAGCTAGGCTGAAGAAGAATGATCGAAGGGGAAGGGCCGAAGGGGTGACTTGGCAAAAGAAGATGAGAATTGGCGGGGTGGGGTGGGGGACGAGATGAAGAACCGATATAAGAAAAGTCCACGGAAATCTTTAGTGAGGAGAAGAGACAATCGAAGAGAATTAATGTACTAAAAATGAGTTAAAAGTCCACGAGAATCCATGATTTTAGAAATCCATAAGAATGAACGGAACTTTGAATATGCCTAGACTTTTATAGACTTTTAAAAGTCTACATTGAATACACCTAGACTTTTGTAGATTTTTAAAAGTCCACATTGAATACACCTAAACTTTTAAAATCCATGGACTTTTAAAATTTTGCCACTAATTCCTAATACAATACACTCCTCTAAATTTGTATGTCTCCAATTAGAGGCGACGAGGCGTCCGCCTAGCATCTAAGCACTAGGCTCTGAACTTAGGCTTGACTAGCGCCTAAAGCATTTTAAAACATTGCTTGAGATTAACCAAAATTTATTACTCCGTAATAACCTAGTTGTGGTTGCAAAAATAACTAAAAATTGAACTTGCATCGTCATAGTCATTATTCCCATGAGATCTTATTGTTTTGCGAGATTCAGGAGCCAATGCTGCTCCGCCATAGTCTACTATTGTTGCAGCTGCTATTACTGTTGAAACATATTGGAGCTTGACGGTTGAATATAATCGGGTGAGTTTTCTGCCTTGGTGTTATTGATTTGATATATATGGATTTACCTCAATCGCAGTCAAGTAAACTGTCGTTAGGGTTTTCATCCCACTCGTCGACTCCTGCTCCGCCCAACCGTTCCCAATCGGCTGATGGTTCAATCTCTTTCCAGATTGATTCAAGCTTTGGCGACCATTCCAATCCGCTCCCGTCTGTGCCGCTTCAATTGATGGAGCAACAGACGAAGGAAGTTAAGGAGAAGGACGCCGGAGGAAGTATGGATGACGGTGAGATTCGGATTTTGGGACATTCTATGAGTTTGAAACGGAAGAGAGATACTGATTCAACCTCAACAAATTCTTTTTCATCTAGCGGTGGTCATAGGGTCCCGATCTCTAGCAAACAACAACAAAGTCATGAAACCCGCAGAAATTCCGTCATTGCTTGGGGAAATCAAAGCCTTCGATCAGCAGACCCTGATTTATTTCAGATAATGGAGAATGAAAAGGAGAGGCAATACAAAGGAATCGAACTAATTGCTTCAGAGAATTTCGTTTGTAAGGCAGTAATGGAAGCATTAGGAAGCCATTTGACGAATAAATACTCAGAAGGAATGCCCGGAGCAAGGTATTATGGCGGGAATCAATTCATTGATGAGATTGAGATACTTTGTTGTGAGCGTGCTTTGGTTGCTTTTGGACTTAATTCTGAGAATTGGGGTGTGAATGTTCAACCGTATTCATGTACATCTGCAAATTTTGCTGTATATACAGGTTTGTTATTGCCTGGTGATCGTATAATGGGTTTGGATACACCTTCTGGCGGGAACACAAGTCATGGGTACTATCTCCCGAATGGGAGGAAAGTGTCAGGGGCTTCGATTTTCTTTGAGAGTTTTCCTTATAAGGTCAATCCTCAAACTGGATATGTGGATTATAATAAGCTTGAGGAGAGGGCTCTTGATTTCCGCCCTAAGATACTTATATGTGGGGGAAGTTCTTATCCCCGAGAGTGGGATTATGCAAGGTTTAGACAGGTTGCTGATAAGTGTGGAGCAGTTTTGCTGTGTGATATGGCTCAAATCAGTGGTCTGGTTGCTGCTAAGGTGTGTTGTCATGTCTCCATATGCCTTCTAATCCTGTTTTTAATCATTAATTATCATGATCTCCTGCCTTCCTTCATAGTCATCTGTCCTTATCAATCAAATTATCAAAATTCCTCTTTCTTTTATCCTTTTATGAAATTTATGCATATATTTTCTTGAATTTGATCCTTCTGCAGTTCTACCAATCATATTAAACAGGCGGTGAGTAGTTTATGCCCATAAAATGAGAGTATTTTAAGTAATTTCTTCCTTTATTCTTTTCTGCATGCCAAACGAGCCTGCACAAGCTTTTCTATATAATAATGATGGCTGAACAATGTACTTATGCAGGTTTGTGATAGCCCTTTTGATTATTGTGATATAGTTACTGCCACTACCCACAAGAGTCTTCGAGGTCCAAGAGGTGGCATTATCTTCTATAGGAAGGGTACAAAACCAAGGAAGAAAGGCATGGTTCTGAATCAAAATGATGTTTGTGAGAAGTATGATTTTGAGGAGAAGATAAACTTTGCGGTTTTCTCTGCATTGCAAGGTGGGCCACACAACAACCACATTGCTGCCCTTGCCGTAGCATTGAAACAAGCTGCAACTCCCGAATACAACATTTACATGCAACAAGTGAAGAAGAACGCTCAAGCCTTAGTAAATGCATTGTTGAAAAGGAATTGTAAATTGGTGACTGGCGGGACAGATAATCACTTGATAATTTGGGATCTAAGGAATCTTGGTTTAATAGGTTGTGACTTTCGCTTCCTTTTTACTGCTCTTTCATGGTTTCCTTTGACTGCATTTTATCCTTCTGCCCCACACAGAGTTGGAAGAGTATCATTCAAGTTAAATATGATGTATCTATTACACCAACAAATAAACAAAGAGTATTTCTCCGCCTGGTTCCCATAATCCGCTATGTTGCAGTGAAATGTGGAAAGCATAAGGAAAAAGGAAAGGGCCATCTTTTTTTTTATAGAAAAACAGGTGTTTCGAGTGCTTCCAAAGAGTTTCCCAAACACAAACATACTTTTTTTCCGATAGTTTCCGTGCTTCATATATACTTTTTTCCTGTTTGGCTGAAATGTTGGTTGCCATATGCTTTCCCTCAGAATATGGTAACATTGTCATGATAATCAAATATCCCTCACGGCCTTATAACACAGGCTCTCAAAAGTAATATTAAAGTCATGTAACGACACTATGTTTTGGGTATGTGGGTGGGCATGGATGAAAAGGGGTAGTAATTCTGATGAACAAGATGCTTTTGCATTTTTTGCATACTTATGAGAAGAAGAAAAATCTAATCATGCTTGAAGTTTTTTGCCTAAAACAAGAAGTATGCAATTGTCAAATGTCAATATAGAGTTAAAAGCTGCTTTTGAACTATATCTTGATTTTGTGTTCTTTCAGTCAAGAATTTTGAGAAGATTTGTGAATTGTGTCATATTACTCTCAACAAAGTCATGCTCTTTGATGACAATGGAACTATTACACCTGGTGGCGTGAGGATAGGTAAGCGAGATCACCCCATTGCCCTTTGTTATCGTTGTCTCTATCTCTCTTTTAATGTAATTATTATGAAGTAAGATACTCAATATATACCTGAACGGGGGCCTATGGGTGAACCAATAAGGCCTGTGGCTTTGGTTGATGATTATTATTGCACCTGGAACTTGGAAAGATGCCATCCTAAGGCCTATCCAATTCGTGGAGCGTACGCCGTAATCTCTAGCTGCTAGGAATGCGTTCATGTGTGGCCATACCTTATATTTTAAAAGTAAACACAAAATGATCTTTTACTCCATACTGTATCACATAAGGTGTTCTAAGTGTTGTGCTGTTGTCAAGTGTTTACTATAACAGATACAGTTGGGGCCCATTTGGAACTGTAAAATGCTAGTGAAAGGAAGTGGGTAGGAAAATAGATCTAAATAAAGTAAATGAAATGAAATTTGGATGAAAATGAAAAAAGTAGGTTCATGCTCAAAACGATCAATATAGATGTGTTCAAACTCATTTTATTTAAGTATTTTCCATTAATTTTACATATTTTTTGTCATATACTCCGTATGAGTTAATAGTTTTTTATCATTTAAAATTTTCATTTTCATTTTTAAGATAAAATGAAACATAATTTTTTTAATTTCCCTGATTTTTATTGTTTTCCGAATGCTGGCATCTATATGATCTCATTCCCCACACATTGATGTTACATATGTCTGCTTTGCGTGTGGACGCAGGAACATCAGCAATGACAACAAGAGGTTGTTTGGAGTCTGATTTCCGAGCAATAGCTGACATCCTGTTAAAAGCTGCGCATATAGCAATCAGGGTACAGAGAGAAAACGGGAAGCTGTCCAAGGCATTCTTAAAGGGGACAGAGAGCAACAAAGACGTTTTAGAACTTGGGGCACAAGTAGAATATTTTGCATCCCAGTTTGCAATGCCAGGGTTTGAAATTTGATTCATTGCTTTAAGGGGACATGCTTCCACGGGCGTCGCTGGTTGGGGGGTATATACTGTAAGTAAATGCAATTGACTAGGAAGGAAGGTGGGTTCCTTCATTCTCTGTCCGGACTCCGGACAGAGACATTTTACCCTTTAGCCAAGGTGGTTTCAAGTTTTGTAGAGCTCTTTTTTTTTGTTTTTTTTTTTAATTTATTGTATTGTTTATCAAATTATTATTGTTATTATTACAGCTAAAACTGGCAGTGTTACTCACTTAGGAACTGTCCTTTGGTACTGAAATTTGAAGGTCCGGCCGTGTTTGGTAAATGCAGTTGGTTGAATCGGCTTAAAGTGTGTGGATATTGGAATGGTTCTTCTGCTTTTTTAAAAATTTACTTGCAGGAGCAATTTGAAACACTTGGTACTTGTGGGCTTTCTACTGAACTCCAAAATGTGATCCTGCCCCTCGGAGGAGAAAAAAACAAGCAGATCCAAACACTTGTACGTGTATAACAACTTATATGGATTTTAAATTTGGGAGTATTAGAATGACAGTAGCTAGCATGTTCTCCACCGCTTCTGGAAGGCAGGCGTGGGGTCATTCAGATTGTGATTGTTAGCCACCTCTGCATTTGCAAAGGAGCACGCGTCTCCGTGCTCTAATAATAGAATAGACACTCATATTTACATATTTCTTTCTCTCTTTCTTTCTTATGTATTATGTAGAATATCGATCATCTGCGTTCTCCAAAACAAATACGGAGTACTACAAATAAATATATAAATAAATAGTAGTGTATGATCGAAAATGATGATAAGCAGAAGGAAGATGAAACAGATGGGAGCGTCTATTCTGTGCTTCGCTCTGCTTATGATGCTCACTCCAACAATTCCTCAGCCTCAAAAGTATCATGACTATGCCGCAAACTCCTATCTGGTAAGCTATTCTCACATCCCATCTCTTTCTTCACAACTTCTTCAATTCCCACTCCCTTCCATTTATGATTTATGATGTTAAACAATTATGTTGTAGCCAAACTGTATGTAATATTCTAGATCCATCAATGATTTATTACTGTATATCTTAACATTATTAAAACATACGGAGTAAAACAATTTAGAATCACCATTATCTTATCTTATTTTAAAAAGTCGAATCTTTTCGAGGTACCTTACATTGCCCTCCTCCTTACTATGATGCGTGGCTAAAAAATCGAACCCCAAACGGAATAAATCAAATAATCTAAATTATTTTATTATTAATCATACTTGTTAACTATGATATTTTATTTAGTTCTCAATTCGTAATTCTAGAAAGTTAATGTTGGGTGCTACATTTATTATGAATTCTAAAGATATTGATTTGTTCTATTTTGATTTAATAAGGTGAAATACGTACTTTCATACATACTTCATTCATAATTTGTTCTTGTATCGTTAGTCCTCACACAACTCTTTTAATGAAGAAGAAAATGTTTGTCTTCTGAATTATACTTTAGATAACACCAACTATTTTTAAAAACCTAAACACCAACTGTGAAAATCTAGAAAAAGTTTTTTACCACCAATAATAAATCTTTTATGAAAAAAGAAATAAATTAATGTGTTCAACTTTTAATGCATGGAAGTTCATTTTTTGTATTACGTTTCCTATTAATTATTATACTGAATATATATATATATATATATATATATTGTTGAGTTTAATCCAACATGATATAATAAGTATAGATATAATTTGGTACGAACACTCTGTTTTTACGTGGAAACCCGAAAGGGAGAAAACCATGGGACTGTTTAGGCTAATGTTCAAGTCCGCTCATTTTATTAATGCACTCCTCATCAATACATTATACAAGCTCCCATCAATGGAGTATAAAACTAGCTATTTAGAGAGGGAGGAGAAGAGAATGGATCCTGCATAAGGAGGGGAGGGGAGTCCTCCTATTTATAGAGGAAAGGGGGAGAGGTGCTCCACCCTAATGGGCTAAATGTTCCACGATTGGCCGAATGGGCCGATACAGACTCGATAGGCCTAAACGGACCTCACTGATCGGGCTTCGCGCTAAGTAATGACTTGGCTCCTGAACAGTGGTAGGCCGTGTTAATATATCTCAACACAAGTCCCTCAGTTTCTTGAGTAGTGAGCATGTAAATCTGCTCGAGAAAGTATACTCTTGCTCGTCGCTCTTCCTTTGTCTTCCTTGGACCTGTGTCTTCGAGCAATCTTACTACATGAGCGGATGACTGCCTCTCTAAACGTAATTTGTCGATAAGGCGCTCCCCCTCCTGACTGGATCGGGCAATGGATGCTCTTCCCCGGACCCTCTCCCCCTGAATGTATCAGGCGGGGGTAAAGGACTCTGGTTCGGCTTTCCAATCGAGAAGCTTAGAGGCCCTGCACATATAAAGGCGCTAAATACGATGTATGTGCGTATGCATGAATATATGAGATGTGATTCATGAATGTGGGGGTGTCAAGCGTGATATACAGTGATGGATCCCATCCTAGAAAGGAATAGTGATCCCAAACATGAACAAGACACGATGGCGATGAGGGGCCGATCGCGCTGCATAAGATAGTGGTCCCCATCCGTTCGTCGTACCTGCCCAACTGCCCTTTAGCCCGGTTCTTTAGATCCTGAGCTGAGCTAGACCGTCGTAGTCTGTGAGGAGCCGATCATGCTGCATGAGACTGTGGTCCTCATCCGCTCGTCGTTCCTGCCCTTTAGCCCGGTCCTTTGGATCCTGAGCTGAGCTAGGCTGTCGTAGTCTGTGAGGGGCCGATCATGCTGCATAAGACGGTGGTCCTCATCCGCTCGTCGTACCTGCCCTTTAGCCTAGTCCTTTGGATCCTAAGCTGAGCTGGGTCGTCGTAGACAGTGAGAAACGGGTTTATCCCCTTTGGGGATTCCCTGGTGCCCCTCTATTTTTTTAGTGTGTGTGTGTGTGTGTGTTGGCCTGGGGCTCTTCTGGGCGTGACCGTCGGCCTAAGGGTACAATGACCCTCGGCTCGGCTCGTCATCTAATTCTTTAAAAATAACGGTCCAATTTATCATAGGAGCTTCACTCGGCATTATTTAATTTTGGGATATTTTAATCCCTAATAAATAATGGTGATGATCAATAATAGCAATAACATATTATTGTAAATTAATTAAAGGAAAAAAATCCATTTATGGTCCTCTGAGTTTTGCACCAATTCCACAATTAGTACTCGTATTTCATTTTATCCATTTTTGGTACCTGACTATTGCTTTCTTGACCATATATAGTCCTTTTCCGATAGTAAAAATGCTCAGAAATGGACCACAAATGGTCAAGAAAACAATAGTAAGGTACCAAAAATGAATAAAATGAAAGACGAAGACAAAATATGGAAATGACACAAAACTCAGAGGACCGTGGAATTAATTCTTAATTAAAGTGTAGAAATGGTGACTTAGCTTTGGGATAGGTGTTCGGCCAACTAGGAATCCCTGAAATTGATTTGGTTTCTTTGGCAATTTTGACCCGGTCAACATGCTCCATACCTCTGAGGACCAAGTCATCTGATCCGTATTTACTATTCCGTATCTCTGGGAAGGTACAGACTGTTGCAGCGGAGCGAGGATGGCCACAGGGTCTGGTTTCGGTGGGAGGCCTGCTAAGCTTCGAAAATACCTTTCCTGAGCTCCGAATCTCCACTAACGGCGGAAATAAAAGATTCTTGGTCGGGAAATCCTTCGAGTCGGTGCGGCGGAGGTTGAGGTTCGAGCGACGGCTGGCCAGGCGGAAGAGTGATCGACGACTGGCTGTCGGCGACGAGTGACAGTGCTCTGCGTTTTAGGCGGATGAACCCTCCGATGTTGCTGATGCTTGCGTCGTGGGCTAAGCTCTGGAGCAGCCATTAATGGCGGAAGCTCACTAGGCTCTTGGTCGAGCTGCACGGAAGCAGAGAAAGGGCCTACTAACCGGTACGGTGAGGTGGATGGGCCCGCTGCTAAGACGTCCCCCGGTGCCACGGCTGGAGGGAGGAGCTGCGACTGGGGTGACAAGAATCGAGGCTGGAGCTCTCACTCCACCTCCGGCTTGGTGCAGCGTCGCCGCCGGCTGAGTCGGTTATAGTGACTTCTTCAGATTCTCCCCAGATCTGGATGTTTCCGGCCTCATTTCTCTTCTTCTCGTTGAAATTAATACTCCAATTTGATCCTTGTTCACATTCCGATTATTTTTAGAAAACAAAATTTACATATTTTTAGAAAGTCGTTTCAAAGGCTGATAAAAAATACCCCCTCCGTCCCATATTTATCTTTGTATTTCAGTTTACGATGCTTGACTGACGATAAAGCAACTCGATTCCTGTTCACACTCAGATTATTTTTAGTAAATTAAATTTACATATTCAGAAACTACATTAAATCCGCTACAAAGTCTTATCAAGAAAATTTAAGTTTGATAAAAATTTAATATATAAAGTAAAAGTTTAAGAGTAATTTGAGTTGATCGTGTGAATAGTAACTATGAAGATAATTTTGGGACGGAGGGAGTATGTAAATTTCATAAAAATTTGATATGTAAAGCAAAAGGTTATGAATTATTTAAGTTAACCATGTGAATAGTGGACGAGAACCTTTAAATGGGATGTAAGGAGTAGCTTTGTGTCTCAAAGTTTTGTAGAAAATCAAGAACACGTCAATCTTTTTGAACAAGATTCTCACGGACGGCGCCATTTTAACAAGTTATCCGCTGATTTTAAACACTCATTTAACCAAACACTATTTTACAAACAGCTAATTCTATCAGCTAATCAAAACAGCCAACAGAAGCTGCTGTCTTCAATCAGCTAAAACAATCAGTAACAGCCAACAGCTAATTGCCAAACACCCCCTTTGCACCCTCATTTTCAAAATCATTGATGTGTGTAACCTATTAGTCCAAAAAATATGAAGGAGTGTGATGCTAAGTCATTTCATAATGAATTGGGGTGCATACATATGATTTTAATCTTGTCATATATCAGTCTTCATTTCGAAGGGAGAAGATATATATTTACATAAAATTGGTTTTTTTTCTTAATCTTAATAATCTAGTTTAGTAATGTTACTATTTTTCAAATATTAATAACAAGAATTTATGGTTTTATATCTTTGATAATATACAAATAATAACAACAACAATAATAAATTATAGTAACAACAACAACAATAATGGTAGTAATAATATTAAAAGTAATAAATCATTATGGTCTAATTTGATCTCTATCTTTATGGTCTAAATCTGTTTGATGTGAGTGGGTCTAATTTTTTTGTCTGATCTGATCATATATGAAATGTTCTAATTTGATCTGAATAAATAAAATAAGAATAAAGAGATGTACCCAAATCGACACTAACAACTCCTAACAAAGAGATGTACCCAAATTGTTGTGGTCATAGGAGGTCAATAACAAAGGGGCACTTTCAAAGTAATCATTTTCACAATTCATGTGAAAATTTTGGCGAGTATCGTTCATTTCATTCAAAAGGAGAAGATAAAACAGAATATCATTTTCACAATCGATGTGAAATTTTGCTGAGTATCGGTCATTTCATTCCAAAAGGAGAAGATAAAAAACAATTTCTACATAACATAAAACTAATGTAGAAAAAAATTAAATGCAAAAATAAATGAAAACATAAAATGGAAAGCAATGCTATTAACATATACGGAGTACTACGTACTATGTAGTATATGGGTAGGGATGGATTTAAGGGGGTGTGGGGGTGCGACCGCCTCCCTTGGACTTTCAAAATTTTCTACTATATATGTAATGTTTTTGTAAAATTTTGATACTTTAATTAGATTCGCCCCCTTAATTTTTTTGTTGAACATTGCCCCCCGTAACTTTTAGTTTTTAAAATTGATATATAGTCTTACATAATGTAATACTTAATCGGAGATTTAAAAAAGGAACATCTAAAATAATTTACATAACTTAAATAAACAATAGAAGAACTCATTATTTGAGATTTAGGATACTTATTATATAAAAATTCTTAGTTTTGTAATGTTTAATTATCTTTATTCGATAACTAGTAAACAATTTTGAAAAATATATATCAAACGATATTAAATACCAGACACTCTACCTAC